CAGGGCTTTATATTCTGGCTCCCATTTCCTGGACATCTCCTGACCTTCCCGCATGCGTTTATTATAAATCGGTCTGACCTGTTGGGGCCACAGTCGAGTGCAGAGCTGAATGAACTGGGTCATCATAAGATTACCATTTCATATTCATAAGCAGACCCGCAGCAGAATGTGATTTGATGTTATCTTTTATTCAGTGTTTGGTCCCAGAAAAACCACAAAAGATTAAACGCAAAATACAAATTCATACAATCGTTGATGCTGCATAAAAAGCATAAATGTACTTTTGGTGCCACAGTTAAAGGGAGATGAATGCGGGTCACACTCTGGCCTCTATTATTTGGTATTTTTGCAGTTCTACTGGATGTTTGCTGGATTGTCCCTGATTGCGAGACTAATTTGTACAGTTTGTGTGGATGGCTCATGAACTTATCACAGCTAATGCATTTTTTTTTTGGCTGTAACTTGAGACTACCAGCTTTAGAAGAGGGATGGTTAGTACTTTGTTTACATTTCTGCCAATAAATCAATGGCCATTATGTATAAGCTACATACGATGGAGCAACTGTTGAGTGTTGTAAAATGTTTCCTTCAAACTGTTGAAATAGTAAAATATCTGGATTGAAAAGTACTTGCTGTGCTGTAACTCAATGCCAAAATACTCCAGAAAGATAACAAACAGTACATTTTTAATAATTTAATTGGATGAGTGGCTCAAGATGCTCATCTACCAACTCAATAGTTTCCTGTAGTTCTGTCCTCCTTAAGTCTCTCCACGTGATCTATGTTTAAATGTGAGTGACTAGTCATGCCTCTGATAAGGCTGTAGCTTCAGAAACATCTGTCCTTGTTTTATCAAATCTAATGAATGAATTTTATACTCTTGTGAGGTTAGCGCCCCATGTTTCTTCTCTAGTAGACTATACTGCTTCTTAAAGACCACTGTTCTTTTACAAGTAAGCTGAGTCGAACCCCTCCCTCCCTCTCTTCATTATTATATTATGTTTTTGTTTCCCCCTTCCCACTGTTCCCATACTGTCCACTCCTGCTCTTTGTCCCGAGAACATACCAAACCAGAGAAATGGGGGGGTAGAACAGAACGGGGGGAGGGGAGGAACCAGCAGCCTGTCATTGGAGAGATGAATAAAAAAGGGGGAGAATAGCATGTGGTGAGAAGCAGACGGTAAGGTTGGCAAAGAAAGTGGTCTGCAAGCTTGTTTGTACACCATTTGGATTTCTCTTAGGTTTCAAAAGTAATTTTAAAAGCAACAACTGGATGCATTTAAGTCATTTGGAGCAACATTGAAGCTGTCCCATTGAGGAATCCTCTAACCCTGCTTTTCTCATCTGCTAATGCTACTGCTGCTGCTGCTGCTGGTGGTTTTGTTGTCCTTCCATTTGGCCATTGGGCGGACTGTTCACTGTATACATGAAGGAAAGTGAAGAGCTGACATTTACGTCCGGAGAGGAGATTGTGTCGCAGGCTTGTGGCAGAAGGAAACTGGACTCTGCAAGATGGGATGTATGCTTTCACACTTGAGATAGATCCTGAGACAGGTGCTGAGGGGGTTAAGGTGGGGGCAACACTGAGCCTTTTGCAAAGTCTGCACGCCACCGCACCAAACTTTAAAGTAAGTATGAAGCACGTTTGTTTTATTGTAAGCTCACAGGCTGCAGAGCTCGCCTTCGTGCAAGATTATTAGTCTTCAGGACATGTAGCTATGGAATTCCCTCTTCAGCACTTCTTTTTCTTTGTTCAACGTGTGTCTACAAAGCATGCATTGGACTTTTTGTGGAAATTGACAAAACCTTTAAATGTATCCAGTTTAGAGGTATAACAAAGGAGAATTCCAGACCACCCATTTGGTTCATAATTTTGCAGGAAGATTTTGGCAAGTGACCTCTCAGATCATAAACTTTCTCGGTTTTTGCATTCAATACATTTTACTTTGTACTTTTGCAACTTTAGTCTTGTCATTTCGATTGTCTGTTATGTGCTGCATCTGTCCTGGTCTTTGTGTCCAGTGAAGCAGTACATGCAGTGGACACATGAATATTGTGCACACACTTGGATGGAAAGCCTGTCTGGTATGCCACTAAGTTGAAGGCTACACAGCATGGTTTCTTTTATAAGTTGTAATTTAGTAAAAATACAGGCTAAAAACAGAACCGCTTGTGTTGTTCTTTCCATAAGTGCTGGAATAGCTGTTGGTTATGTATTCATGCAGCAGTCCATGTTAAGGTTTGTAACAGCATGGGATAAAAAGTCTGGTAGACGCTGCCTAAACCATTGTATCTTCTTATATAGACATTTTCTTCTCGCCACTTCCCTCAGATTAAGAATTCAACATGCTTTGACATTCATAACTTAATTACTGTCACTTTTAATAGCCTTCAAATTATGCCATGAAATGTTTCCACGAGGTTTCGAGGTGGAGAGAGCTGTTCATAAATAATGCATCAAGGGTGTAATAATTCACTGCTTTCTATAGTAACTTCTGTACTGCTTCAGTGTTGCTGCTATTTCATAAGAAAGACGTATTTGGTTGAATTTCCAAATACGGTGATTTTGTAGTAGACTCTAAATCTCAAGAGAATTCATTTTTAAAATAATTGCATCAATGAGCTGCTTTATATTGTCTTAAAACTTCCATATCCCTTCTATCTGTGGCATTGCTGTTTTATATCCTTAAGTACACTCCAGTAGTAGTTTTCAGTGAAGTTCCCTTTGTCCAATAGTACAATAGTAAGTGGTGAAAACGATCTCCCCACTTTTCCGCTTCGCCAAGCCAAATGCATGCCTTTCTCAATACATTTTCAGTGGAAAATGGAAAAGTGGTATTAGGTTAGAAGTTTCTTTGGCGGTTTGAATTCTCCAATTTCCAAAAGCACCTGCCACCTGCGTCTGTTTGCATCCAGGCGTATAATCTTTGCAGGGATGTTTTGAAGCAGATGCGAGTCATGCCATTTCCAGCTTCCTGGTTTCCTCATCTATATTTCATCAACATGTGGGCGGTCAGCAGTGCACCACTCGGAGCTCATGTGTATAATTACCATCTTAAACCTTTTTACAATTCTTTAGCCTGTGTTTGGTTTTGTACTGTAGGAAATTATTATATTCTGGTGATAACCCTAACTACTAATTTGACTTCTCATACGCTCAAATGCAAAAGGCTAATGTGGGATTGACTTCCTCACCTTTCATCTTCTCTTAGAGGGAGGACTGTAAAGATTATATCAAGAATATAATCACAACTAATCAAGCTTTTTTCAATAATCAACTTTTTAGTAATCGATCAATTGCTCTGTATACAGCTCCAGCACATGCGTGTAATCCAAGATTGGATTTTTCGAGCTCTTTATAAACGACATTAGCTAAGAAATATAGCTTATTGTATATTTTGTGCGCTCACTTTGTGCTCTTACTACTCTCCTGTATTTGTGTTGAAATTCTTATTATTTGTTCATAATCATTTTGTTATTTAGGGATAATGGTTGTGTATGCACTTTAACAGCAGTTTTAGTATTGTTTTGATAATCAGTGTTTGATTTCTAAAACAAGCTTGTTTTAAGAACTTTTGCTGATTGTTGTGTTCGCTACTGACCCTGTTTTTTTACAACTCCTTTGTGGAGTGGGCGGAGCTTCCAGGTTACTGAAAGAGCGACTAAACACCTGTGCCCAGCCTTACTCCGCCCACATGAAGATTTGAAAATTTTCTCTAAAAAGGGCGTTGCCTGGAGGACTAAGGGACAAGAAGGGGGGCTTAGAGTTGGGCGTGGTCTGGGCTGTGATTGACAGCTCACTTGTCACACAAAAAAAAAACAGACAGTTGTCATTGCTGCTTAAAGCAATAGTTTACAGACCAGAAAGTCTCATTCCACCCTTGTTTACACACTAAGATAATTGTAAAGCTACACACCTGAACCTAATCACACTCAATAATCTCAGAATGACTCATGTCATTTAATTTTAATCCACTAGATGGCGCCAGAATACTCCAAACTGCAGCTGGGGCGTGTGTGAGAGTTGAATGGGTTCACATCACTGGCTCTGACAGACTGACGTCACACAAAACAACTGATGTCATAGAGAACTTCAGAGTCAATGGAGAGGCCAGAACCAAATTCAAATGTAGTACCACCAAAAAGGTTGAGAGGGCACCACACAGCGTTTTTTGGCTCAAAAGTGATATTTTATCTAATTTGAACTAAAATGTCAAAAAAATGACCAGGATATGTAGACAGCACTACAATAAACATACTTATGCAGTTTATGAGTTAAAAAAAGTTGATTTGGTGTTTAGTCGCTCTTGGAAGTAAAAATTCCCATTCACAAGCCCCATAGGGATTTTATATATTTATAGATCATTTTCAAACAGTCATATGAAATGAAGCCTTCTTTCTTATGAAACCTCTACGCCGTTACCAGGTGATGATGTACAGAAAAATGCTGCAAACGAATAAAACACTTGTACTGTACTCTGATACGCCGCTCAAACCCGAGCCATTAGAGGCTTCAGAGCTCCATGTGTGGTACAGGCAGAAACGGTGGCAACAAAGGTCTGATTTGTGATTGTAACGACTTTATTAAACCAGTGAGATGTATTCAAGAACAATAATAATAATAATAATAATATAATAATAATAATAATAATAAACTCAACAGGAAGTGGTGCACACCGGGGTAGTCTTGCACAGTTTTTCCTATGTGGTTTTACTGCAAATGGCAAATAAATGAATCTGAATCTGACATATTTAGAAGCACCGTTAAATCTATTGTTTTGATGCTGCTATAACATCTTGCAGAGCCACAGTTACGTGCAAAAACACGCTGCTGTTTGCGCACAGGAAAACACGGGAAAGGTTTTTTTTTATGTTCTTAAGGAAATGAGCCTGTATGTGTAAGAGGAAATGTTATAATTAAATGTTCTCTTAAATGTTTTTTCTACTCGGAAATTAAAATGTCAATATATGACTATAAACCTTGTTTTTTCTTTTTGCAGTTATCCCTCGGGGATGAACAGTGTGAAGTGACCCGCAACGGCTACGAATCCAAAGAGTTGGTCTACCTTGTTCATATTTACTGCCAAGTAAATATACTGATTTTCTACTATATGAATAATTCACAACTCAGATCCAGCTTCCCAAATATAATTTTAACCTATCGAGTCAGGAAGCATTGAGTTGTCGGAGTAGTCTATTTTAATATGCAGTCTTGGGGCCAACTCAAGTTCACACATTTTCAACACCTTGCCCAGATACTTACTTAAAAGAAGGTTATGTGGGAATTGATTTCTGAATTAAATGGTCAGAATATATAATGAAAACAGAATGGGGACTTTTAATCATTTATTTTTATTAGTGAGTGTAATGTTTGCACTTTATGCTCCACATCAGTGTTGAGTGGTGTGCTTTATCAACCTTGTTTGGAGTTAATATTTTGTTTTCTTGTGACTAAAATCCAATCCTTTTTGTAGTCTTGCGTCGTGCCTACACCTCAGCTGATGCTGCCAGGGGAATTTATGATCAGGGTTTCATGAATTCCCCAGCACAGATCAGGTTTCCTTTGACTAACCTTGGCAATGCAGCAGTCGCCCGATTCTCCCTCTCCACATTTGGAAGCACCTCTGTCTTGCAACCACTGGAAAATTGCTAAAAACAGTTTATTTGATAACCAGTTGAAAAAAAGATGAATCCTCACACTCTCACCACCCTAAGCCAAGAAAGTAGCACAGAAATATTCACCTTTTGAAATGGGTTTTCCATGTTCACTTTCTGATGGCACTTCTCCAACCTTAGACGGAAGATGGAGTGGACAACCGAGTGCTCATCCATAGTGTTTTCCTTTTCATGGAAGAAGCTGATTTTGAGCGAACTCAAACTGGCTCCGTGGGCAGGTTTCTGGAGCCAAATCTAGGGGTAGCAATGACCTGGTCAATCAGGAGCAGCGTTGGTCTGTTCCTTTCTCCTTAGCCGAAATCTTATTCAAAAAACCAAAACCTGATTTATGAATTCAGGTATTGACCATAGACAGTATAAAAATATTAAATCGTAGGCCCAAAATGTTGAGTTTCACACAAATATTTATAGAGCTAGAGTAGTTTTCCTTTCAATGCGCTGAGTGGGAGCCAATGTGAGATTTTTTTCCTTCACTGCTTCCAATACTTACTAAGGCTTGGATGTTTATAATCTTGCCCCACATTAAAATGGGGCCACATTAAAAAATCAGTTAACCTTTTGTCTTGAGACATTTTTGAAAAGGAAAGAGTACGCTTCATTCTTTATGTTCCTATTGCTTGTCTTTATGCCATTATAAAGAACTGTGTAAAGACTGTTGCTTGGAAGAATATTCTTGTCCAGTGGGACATGTCTTGCATAAACACTGAATGTGCATGGGGTTATTGAGGAATGATAAATACACGCTCAGAAATGGGCTATTGCCAAAGGAGGCATTTATTCAATTATATGAGCTAAAGAGAAGACGTTGCACAAACATAGATTCTAACCCGCTAGCTCAATGAAGCCCAATAATGCTCCAACTCGCTTTGGCTCCATTCACTTACATGTGAATTCTTCTGGCTCAGTAACTGTTTGCGTCACATTCACCAAAGGGAAATTATAAATTCAGATTTGAGCCGTAATTATTGACCTTCATTCGCCGGAGTAAACTCCAGTTTGCCTTTGCAACCATGTTAGAAACCTGTTTGTTTCTGCCCCTGCTACTGGTGAGTAGATCACTCAGTCGTAACAAATGTCCACATGAGGAATTTGGCTCCAACTCGACCTATGGCAAAGGTTTGACCGCTGTCATTGCCGCCAAAGATTACATCACAGTATTGAGTTGAACTTTTGTCATTGAACAAATTCCTTTTTTCTCTACCAATATACAAATAAATGAAGAATCTGACATTGATAAAAGTAACTCGCAGTTGTAGTGACCCGTGAGTCACTACAATGAAAATGAAGGACCCCTCATTTGTTTTAGGTGGGACAACTTGCACAATGAGTAACTGTCATACTTTTTTGACCCACTATGCAGTATAGTAGTTTAGGTCTTAGCACATCAACAACTTTGATAGCGGTAGGCTAACAAAACTGCCAAGCTAAAGCAACGGTGTGACTCTGTGAAAACGAAAATAATAAAATAATCTTCTGTGACATTTGTAGGGTCGGAGCTGGATTGTGAAGCGCAGCTATGAGGATTTCAGAGTCCTGGACAAACACTTGCATCTGTGCATCTACGATCGCCGCTTCTCCCAACTTCCAGAGTTACCCCGTCTGGACAGTCTGACAGACCAGCCAGAAGTAAGCTGTGTTTATCACCCTCATGTTGTTCAAGTTTGAGCACCCGCTGTAATTTGACTGTTTGTAGGATTGTTTTATTATTATATTCATTTAACTGGAGAACTTATTGGACTAGTGTGTGTTGGAATAAAAGCTCCACTAGCTGCCATCTCTAAGAAGTAGTTTATGGGAAATGTTCTATCAACTATACTGTAAGCAAAGTGCATCTAAGTAAGTAAGTAAGTAAGTAAGTGAGTAATCTTAATTTATATACCGCCTTTTCACTGCACATCGGAGTCTCAAAGCGGTTTACAATTGTTATTTTTGGGAGTGGGGGTGCCAGTACAGGAGGCACATGCCAGACCTATTGTACATATTTTTAGTGGTAGGGGAAACCGGAGCACCTGGAGGAAACCTACGCAGACACGGGGAGAACATGCAAACTCCACTCAGAAAGGCCCTGGTCCAACCGGGATTCGAACCCAGGACCTTCTTGCTGAGAGGCGAGAGTGCTATCCACTCAGCCACCGTGTCGCCCATCTACTGTGTGGTGTATACAGCTCATATCTTACCCAGATTGAAAGACCTTTAAAAACCTTATGTGCTGTTTTCCCAGTCAGTTTCCCAGATGTTGTTGGCTTACCTCTCCCGGCTCTCGGCCATTGCCGACAACAAAATCAACTGTGGGCCAGCGCTCACATGGATGGAGGTAAGGCTTGGATTTAGAATTGTTCCACTGTTGGCTTTATTAAATGATCTTGCTATAACTGAATAAAATGCAATAAACGACAAAAGGTGACGTATGTGTACTTTTCTTCTTCCCAGGTTGACAATAAAGGAAACCATCTATTGGTCCATGAAGAGTCGTCTATCAACGTCCCAGCTATAGCTGCTGCTCATGTCATCAAACGATACATCGCTCAGGCCTCTGATGAGTTGTCTTTTGAGGTGAGAGGGCTTATGTAATAACATGACAGTTTTCATGTTCACATGTTCACAAAGTATAACAGAACTTTCAAGGATTTGGTAGATCTAGAAATGCTGAGATGTTTTTACAAATGTTGAATTTTATTGAATACAAGAGCTCTTAGTAAATAGAAAGTGCCCCAGTTCCTGCACTTGTTAACTTCTGCTCTCTCGATGTTGCACTCTGCAGGTGGGCGACATTGTGTCAGTGATTGACATGCCTCCTAAGGAAGACACCACATGGTGGAGGGGCAAACATGGATTTCAGGTGAGCATTTGGGAAAACTTCAGTGGCAGAAAAATGTAATCCAAAAAAAGTAATCTCTCATTCAACATGACTGTGCCACAATGTTTATGAGCATATCAAAGACAAAGGACCTCTGCAGTGGATAAAAAAGGATAAATGCCTTGTCATATTCTGATGCGAGATATATTGGAAGACCATTTATCCATCATATAGGTTGTATCGCCACTCTTTTAGAATGTATCTAATCTGCCTTGTAAATGGGGTGGGATACACTATTGAGACAAAACTTCAGACCAAACTCAGTCGAGCAGACAATGAGCTGAAATGGTGTGAACCTCAGATGACCTGTGGTGGTTTTCACTGCCAGCGGCCCCTGTGTTTGTTTTGGCTTGTTGCCTTCGCACATGGCGCCCTCTGTGCTCTCTGTGCCCTTTTACAGTTTCTCTATTGAGGCATTACATACGTTGCCATGTCTGGATCCTTTTAACAAATGCTCATATGTTTGGGAAATGTGCCTCTCTGTGCGGAGTGTAGCATAGTATCTAAAGGGCCCACGTGTTGAAGTGGACACAGTAACATCTGGCTGCATTTACTGCACTATCAAGTTTAACTGTATGTTTGGATAGTGGGAGGAGCTACAAGGACTTTCTCTTTCAAAGTGTCATTCAAGTATTTGCGACAACATAAAAGTATGCATAATGTAATGTACAAAGATATTCGACTCAAAGCCTCCAAAAAGCAGTTCCTTTTCCAATTGCCCCTTTTATTGTGTAATTAGCCCTTTTTCTACTGTTACAGGTTGGCTTCTTTCCCAGCGAGTGTGTGGAGCTCATAAATGACAAAGTGCCACAATCCATGACCAACTCTGTGCCAAAACCAGGTATGACTCTAAAATACTTGGATTTCATAGTCCTAGGAAATATGAATGAAAAGAAAATGGCAGGGAGTGGTTGGATGAAGCAATTGTCTTTACTTTTTTCATGATAACAGAAACTACCCAAATGACCCAGGTAGAAGTTTATGATTTTGGGTCAACACAGGTTTGAATCTCAACTAAAGGAAACCATCCTTCAGAATAAATGGCTTCGCCGTACAACTAATGATGAGTGGGTGGGAAACAACAAAATCATTCTATATAATTGAGAAATGGCCAAGGATTCATAAATTAATGAAATTCACTGCATTACCTTAAATGTACTTGGTGATCGCTGTGCTGTTCAGTATTTCATTGGCCAACTATGCAAATGAGTGGCTACATTATCAGTGCAACTTCTCGAGGATGTAGTTAAATATTTGCTCAGCTTATGACTGAGGTAAGAAAGAGGTGTGCTTTAACTTTGCACTGGCACTCGAGCGCATACTGCAATCCAGATGAAATGGCACTGCTGTTGGAATAACCCAGCCTGTGGACCAAACTACGTCACATTCTTTCAGCTCCAGAACATGATTCATTTGTTATGAGACACACGTTTAACCACTGAAATGTGTTTTGTAGTGACCGGAGTGACCTAAACAGAGTCTATGACATCAAATTAAAACATTCTGTCGGACGCTTGTGGCTCTCAGCACGTGACGTAATGCAACAAAGCACTCTCCTGACCAAGCCCCTTTGGTTTTGTGCCTTGCTTGTCCATGCTCCATTTTGATCATATTTTTCACTTTAATGCATGCACTGCGATGACATAGGACTACAGGAGGATTTATATTAAAACTTGAAATTGCCTTAACTCTTCAAATGCTCCTTTTTTTTGTCAACCACTAACATACTCTCAAAAGTCTATTATCGATTCAAATCATTGGTAATTGCGCTAGTTTCCATTGCCCCTGTGCATGTTTAACACTGCACACAGTTTTCACATGTCTTTGATTGTTGCATCTGACTGTGACTCCTCTGCCTCAGCCAACCCCTGCTCTGGCCTGCAGCCTGCTTCTTGGAGTCTCTTCCCCCCGTGTGCGTGTTGGTATACACACTTCATTCACCAGCCACTAACACATACACACTTTGCTACACGGCTTTAACCTTTTTTTGTATTGTAGGCCGTAAGACAAATGACGTGACATTTTGACGATGCATTTCTGATTGTGATTTTAAATGTGCTCTCTTGATGTTTCCATGTTTTCATCCATCCGTCCATTCATGTCCATTTTCCATGGCGCTGCATGCAGACTTGGAGATGGAGAGTGTTACACAGGGCAGTACATGGGTGGCCGACCCGCTAAACCACTACAGCATAAGTTCAGGTAGAGAAAAAATAAACTTTTGTGGTGTCATATTCTCTAACCAAAACCTAACTCCAGTGTCTGTTTACATTTTTTTTTCTCTCTAACTGAGGCTTCCAACTTACAGTACTGGATGCATCACTGCTTCAGCCCTGAGCAGGTCACAGTCTGGTCCCTGATGAGGCCAAAGGCACCAAAAAGATTGTTATGGATTTTGGATTGATGCAAAGTTTTTGTGTGAAAATGCTCACCACCAATTCGATTCTCAGTCTGTTCTGCTCATCACGGCCAGCTGATGCATCCAGTATTTGAGACCTAACAAACTGTACACAAATATAGGTGGAACTCTGAAAATGTAATCATTCAAAAGTCTTTTTACTGTGAAACTTATATATGACAGACTTTTTACACGTAAAGTGAGATATTTCCAGGCTTTGTTTGTTATAACTGTATAAATGTTTTTTTCTCACACATTTTAAAATCCCAAACTAAAATGGCTCCAAAAATTAGAATATTTTGAAAAATGTAATTATAACACAAAGGCTTTGCATATAAGTCTATATATCATAAATCAGTTTCACATTTTAAAACTAATTCCAGAAATACATGTGAATACATTTGAACGATAGTGTTTCAGCTTAATAAATATTTAATTTGATAACTTTATCTTTGTACTTGCAGCATATTTCATCTTTGCTAGAGACTGTTGCCTTCTCTAGTGATAGTTGTACTTACAGTTGCATGTTTTGAAATTAATTTTATCAATTTCAAAATAACATACTGCATGCTATGTACCAGCACAAAAGCATAGTGATTATATTTAATGTAGACTGATAATTAGTTGTCTGTATTTGTTTCCCATTGTGTATTGATGTGCATAATAAAGTCTAAACAGAAAGGTCATTGAACTACCCAAGACAATTTCCAAACTATATATAAATTCAGGGGATTAACAGCATTACAAAACAATATAGAATAATAAAATCACTTTTACTGTTTTCTAATTTAATTGGGAAAGAAAATAATGCTGTCCTGTCTGTAAAAAATATCTCGCATCTGTTCTGGCCCCCTGGTGAACTTTTATGCTAATGCCTCTGGGGTGACTTGGGTTCCTCCAGCAGCTCTCAAAAGAGCAATATGCTGTGTCTGGTCGAGGGGTCTGCTGTGTTTGTACGAGTCTGTTTGAGGCCTGCTCAAAGGCCACTGCAGGGGTGCTAGTGCTAGGTCTGTACTGCCCTTGATTTATTTAATCCTTCTACAATGAGGGGCCTGTAAACCCATCCATTGAGCATTACGCTTTGTCCCGCAACAGTAAGAATCGCTGTCTTTCTCTCCATGGCGACTGAAAGAGCACATTCCTGCAGGGAGCCACACTGCATCGGAAAATCTGCCTTCTTCGCTCAGATCCACTCTCACCACTAACCGCTTCACAGCTAACTGATGGAAATAGTTAGCATGCTGCAGTCACAGTGTTCCAGCTTAAACAAAGACTGAAACAGACCTGTTAGCACTGTCTCGAATGCAGGTACATGTAGAACCAGGGCCTGTTGACCTGAAAGTATTGTTTTAAGATTGAAGAATTGGCTCATAGTCGTTTTAAGACCAGTTACCAACTCTCCAGATGTATATAGAGCCCTCCCCAGCCTTCACTGTGTCATGTCTGGGGACCGTTTGGGCAGCTGCACACATATATGAGCCAAGACAGCTGCTTATGTGTGCCGGAGGAAGGGAAATGGTGAGAGAATGTGTGAGACAGGCGAAGAGTTGTCCTTTTTTCCCCTGAGGATCTGGGATCATTTCCTGGTGCAGTGAAACTATGCAAGGCCCCAGTGTAATGCTCAAGGGCTTCACTTCAGACTGTTGTTGTAGACCACACCTGTATTTGGAACACATTATACGTACGATCACAATGTAATTGATACAGGATAATTCTGCCATCTCTTTCCTAAATGTCATGTAGACAGTGACATGTCTGTTAATGTTTATATGCAGTTAGCATTGACCAACTGTGAATTGTGGTGTTCTTAGGTTTTAAGAACGTTGAAATTTTAAGTGTTTCAGTATATTATTTTATATAACCTTATTACTGCTGATACCATTATCCCTCATATATTTTTCCCTAGTAGCTGGACTTATTCCTAATAGTCAAGGTCAAGGTTCAGTATTCTTCATGTCAAGTATTCTTCATTGAGTTAAAGTAGTCACACGCAATGGAGGAGTTCTGACTCTTGGTCTTGTGATTCTGGACTTTGAATTAGTCTGACTTTATTTTGACTCATTGCGTGTTCTCTGGACAAGCAAGCTAGTTACAGAATTAATGAGATAATGCTTTCGGGGGGCCATGGGGCCCTTCAGATAGTTGTATGCATTTTGTTCCATGCCCAAGGCAACGGTTCGTTTGTCTTCGCCTCAGTGATCACACAGGATTATAGTGTATTCACAATTGTTAATTTTTTTCTATTACTACAAGCTATGCCCTAAACCTATCTAATGCAATATAAACCTAAATAAGTCTCAATATAGTTCAATAAATATACGTGGTGTTTTCGTATAAATAGTAAAATTAATGTCACGTTGTGTCAACACATTGGCGGTCGGGTTGCTTTTATTGTGGTAGCTCGTGGTGGGAGTTCATATTTCCGGGGGCGCTTGAAGGCAGCAGCGCTCGTGTGGGTCGGACTCAGGAGCTCCGCTGTGGATAAAGTCTGTGGAGCGGCGCGACACGCGGAGACGTACAAACTTGAGTTACTCTTTAGGCACTACTTTTCGGCCCGACCAAACTACTTTTAGCTAGTCTCTCGTGCTTTTTAAGTTAGATATATTAAGTCAGCAGCTGTACTTTGGACCTTTACCAAATCTTGTCATTGTGCGTCATGGAGCCAAGGTAAGGGAGATTAGTCCACGTTCTGAAATGACCAATTATTTAGTTGCTTTCAATGTTAGTATTGTAGATTTAGCCTTTATTATAATGACTTCAGTCCAGTAACCTATTCCTCTAAGCTTAATATTTTGTCTTATCTGTAAAATATTGTGTGTATGGCCAATATTCCATCGTGTGTCGTTGTAATCTGAATATGATTTGACTTGGACGTTTATCCCTTTTATGTTGTCAGCGTGTGCTGTGCTATTTAACTTGAAACTAGTTGGATTTGGAAGCCTCAAAACGTTGTATTGTATTTGGAAAACACGCCTCCCTACCATATCACATTTTGTTCTGAAAAAGCTCCCGAAATGGATTTCCAAACTCTGATTAAATAAATGAGATCCTGTGGTCAACATACCATAAGAATTCATTATTATTTATAAATAAATGACAGATGCAAAACATGAACTATACACAAAGTTTCCACAAAAATAGATACTTTCGTAAAAACATTTGATGCCTCTGCCTTCGCTTGCCTGTTTTATATGTAATGGGTTTGAAGTAGTTCCCCTATGCTATAGCAGTTCACTGATGCATTCAGACATGAACAATAGGGCATCTTGTTCCTCTTATCTCAGGACGCACTTCAGCAATGACTAAGAACAGAGGTCAGTTATTACTTCCATTTGTCGCACACAGCTGATGGTGAATAAACACAAGTCTCTGCCATTATCTGTTGGCTATACAATTATTCAAGTTTTAGAAAACTAATAACATTTGTGTGTGTTGGGGAAAAATACTCTTTTTAGTTGGTTTCTTTGTCTATGACAAATATGTGGTTTTGCTTTTGTGTAGACATTTTAAATTTCCCGCTCCTCTGCCTTCTTAGTGGAAGCCTGCAGGGGCTCAGGGGGATGCTGGCTGAGGAGAATGGAGCTGAGGCTATTGTGAAGCCCGTGAGGTGGGATCTGCTCTCGTCTCCCGAGGGTGGACTATTAAGAGTAAACAGCACACCGTACTTGTATCAAATATCTGTTTGCCTGCAGCCTGGCAGTTTCACTGCTCTACTTTAGAGGCTGGAACAATCCGCTGCCGTTGATATTTTGGAGAGCTCTTTGGTTTCGGGAGCTTCCTCACTAATTGAATAGAAGTGCAGATCAGGAGCATGGAGGAGAGCGCCTGGTGTTTCCAATTATGCATTTGTTTCTTGCTTGTTTGGCCCTGTATCTCGTGAGTATTTGCTTCATTTTGCAGATGGCAATGCATTGTCGAGTAGTAGTCAAGCACTGAATCTCTTGTTTACAGTCTATTGTACCACGACCTCCAAAATCTATTCAGAGTTATCAAAGAATAACATTGTTTCCTTATTGACCCATCGCCAGTTTGTCTCTTCATGACATGAGATTGTCATGAGGGCGACAGTAGCTCAGTTGGTAGAGCATTGGCCTTTGGGCTTGAAGGTCGTGGGTTCGAGCCCACCGTAAGACCTACTTCACGACTCCCACTGATGACTGCTGTCGTTGTGTCCTTGGGCAAGACACTTAACCCTACTTTGCCCAAAGCCCCAACTGAAAGATCTCAGCTCCTGTGGACTCACCACCTGCAGGAGGATCAGTGAGGGGCTGGTGCTCTGTGGACTGGGTGCAGCTCTGACTGCCACCCCCCCAACCCAGAAATGGATTAAGGGGAAGAAAATGGATGGATGGATGGACATGAGATTGGCTCTGAATGTTGTTTTCCTAAAAAAACTGCACGGTGGCTGAGTGGATAGCACTCTCGCTTCTCAGCAAGAAGGTCCTGGGTTCGAATTCCGGTTGGAACAGGGGCTCTCTGAGTGGAGTTTGCATGTTCTCCCTGTGTCTGCGTTGGTTTCCTCCGGGTGCTCCGGTTTCTCCTACCACTAAAAACATGTACAATGGGTATGAATGTGAATGAGAGTGAATGGATCATGTTGATTGGGGGCTGGTGCGCCAGTGTGTTCGGCGACTCGCTTCCATCATCTCTGTGTGGAATGATTGGAACAATATCTAAACTCTGAACATTTGGGTGACCTTGGTCTGTAAAAATGCGTTATATAAAAACATTACTTACTAAAAATTGTGAATGAATGAATATGACCTGATGTGTTGAATTGTTGAAATGGAGATCTTGTATATTCTCAAGAGAAGAGAAATTATGTATGTATGTATTACACTGTAACAGGCTTGACAGTTATGCTTCCATTGCACCACAGAACAATGTATGGATTGACATTTACCTCATACAAAACAATACTGATGACAAAATCTTGTCTGTCAAACAGTAGACCTCACTGCTTAAGTGGAAGTCATGTAGCTCTGTACTACCACTATCAGATGGCACAGCCTGTATCGGATGTCTGCCCACTGTCCACAAATGAAATGGCCCGTCCACAGCAGTGGAGTGGGCTGGATATGAGGGAAACTCTTCTCGCCCTGTTCAGACACTGTTGAGAGACGTCATCACACTGACTGAGCAGATGGGAGTGTGTCGCTTCTCCAGGCAGCCCTATGCTCACGAAATAACAGTAATGTGTGAAGCAGGAGCAGCTTTTGCAATGTCAGGCCTCATTCCCTACTCCTTCAGTCCTAAAGCCTTATGTCTGCTCTTTCTCTGGAATGCTGCCGTTTAGAGATCCCTGCTGAATCTTCAATATTTAATCAAAGAAATTCTGTTTGGGGGGAAAAAACACTGGTGGTTGTTGTCAGGGTTGTCATAAAAATATGTTTATTTGTGCTATACTTGTACTATGTTTATAATAGTTTCTGTGATCCCTACCTATACACTAAATAGTGTGTATGCTACAATTTTATACTATCTTTGTAATTGAATATTTCAGACACTTTCCGTCTAGAGTGGCTATGTACATCCTTTTCAACACACTACTTCAATATGAATTTTAAGGGGGCTTTTACATTGCATATTCTTTTAGTCATACTGGAAGCTGAAGACATATCCCTCTAGCTCATTAGTTTAGCTCCAATCCTCTTGTCGCCATACAAAATCCCTTATTGGACTGGCAATTAAACATGTTGCCAACAATGTTTTCTTCTTCTCTGTGTAGGTCAGATAACTTAACATTAGTTTGCAGTGGAAAGAATGGATTGACTTTAATATTAAGTTTATCATTTGTACCAGCTTTGCTTTGACAATTAAGAGAGCCTTTAGTTTTATGATTTTGGAAGAACCACTTGCTTGTTCCAGGAAATGTTATTGCTTTGACTTTGAGTTGTTTCTATTCTATTGCTCAAACATTGTCTACTCAACTATCTCAAAATATTGATCTAATATTATTTCCCAAAAACACTAGTCATTCGATCATGGTAGTTTCGCATGCAGCAGCTATGAATTGAAGGATTTGCACCCAAAGTGAATGGGGTGTTTGTAAATCAGTGAAGGACAAGAACAGGGAGGTCTTGGAATCCTCGCTGTTTATAATCGGCCTGAAGAATTTGCTTATGGCGGTAGTTTTCTCAGTCAAGGATTAACTTGCCAAGGACGAGATGCTTTGATAAAGATTCTCTGACATTTATGCATTTTGTTAGTTTTGAAAGACACAAAACTGCCTCCATACAAAACTGCTAAACCACTGGAAAACAATAGTTACGGAGAAAATGTTTGTTCACTTCAGTCTGTAATACTTCATCTTATTTGCTCAATGTCATGATTGGTTTTCATTTTCCCCAAATGAATCCTTAATGATTAGGCAACTAAGACCTTTGCTGGTGGACTAGGTCACCATTGATTAAACGACCAATCAACAACCTGAATGGGAGGGAGCCCATTGTTGCCATGAAGAGAAAGTTTTAAAACCAGGGGACAATTTGTTATATATGCGGTCTGCTTAAAGCTGGGGTACCTAACTTTAAAACCGCAGTATTAAAAAAAAAATCATTTGAAGACTTCTGACTGTAAAGCAGTTCAGTTGTATTACTATTTTTTTGGTCCCTGCCAAACCTTTTAGATTCACTTTTTCTGACAGAAAAGTCCTCATCCAATCAGCTCTCACCCATAGTCAAATAGAGCCTCTTAGCTGGAACCTTGGATGAGTTTAGTGGGGGGGGGGTTTATTTAAAGACGTGTTTTTGTGGCCAATAAGATTATAATAAGATTATTTGTCATTTAATGTCTTAGAATGTGACATTTCTCAATTTCAAAAAAGTGCCCTTTGCACCAAAGAATGGTGCAGGTAATTTTTTGAATGGAAAATTACCTGCCGCTAATACAGTCATTGGATTATGAAGAACTTATGAGCAATACTTTTGTTATAAAAGTTTTTTAAAACTGCTGCAAGTATGTCATAGTGGTATTATTTCATACCATTACAGGACTGAGATGGGAGCTTTTAGGCAGAAGGGGTGGAGTTACATGTTTGTGGCAGAAATTCCTGATATTAGTGTGGATCTAAAAACTACTCCAGGCTTTTTGATGAGGGAACAAGGTTGTAACATTGCTTGAAAGCTCAAAGTTGGGTTAGCATAATATTTGTCCTTTACATTGAGACTGTGTGCATTTATCAGCATGTAGATGCTGTGGAGTTAGCTGTGTAAGCTAATTCTCATCAAAAGTCTTGTTGGTTGATGTCAAAACAGATAAAACAGGCACAAACAAACATTTGGGAGAAAACGTGATGGGTTTTTTGTTCTGCCAGCGAGCAGAACCAGTTTCATGCCCAGCTTAGTTTTTCTAAATAATGGTTTGTTGTCTAAACTTTCGTTTCCCAAACACCCAGATCTATGATAGTCCTTCTAGAAAAACAAGTCTAGTAAAGCGCTTATACGCCTTTCCCAGACCTACTATCTGATTAAAGGTTTTTTTTCCTTGTTTTGAAGCAGGTTAGAGGATACTGGTATTGGATGTGGCAAATTCCTTTGTAGTTGCCTGGGAGGTGGTATTTAAGAGGCAGCCTTTCGCTTCAGGGGAACTACACATGCATAAAAGGAGAGTTTGCATTAGAATAAAGCTGAGATGCACAATGGGACAAACTGGTATGAGGTTACAGAGCGATGCATGCGTGGACCGACTGTGCAAGCTTCTAACATCTGTGAAAAGTATCTAACATGCGACCCACACTCCCTCCCTTCCTTCCCTTCATTCCTCAGTGTCTAAGAAGCACGGAAAGCTGATCACCTTCCTGCGCTCCTTCATGAAGTCCAGACCCACCAAGCAGAAGCTGAAGCAGAGGGGCATCCTGAGGGAGCGGGTGTTCGGCTGCGACCTCGGCGAGCACCTACTCAACTCAGGACACGATGGTGAGAGCAAGAAGGAACTCTAGAATTCAAATCCCCTATTCATTGTGTACTTTAATATTAGGCCATATTGTTTTTTATATTTTTTCTTTTACTTTTAGTTAACGTCTACTAAAAATCGAATGCAACAAACATCAGAATATTTCGCCATTATATCTATTCTAGGGTACTCAACTTAAAACCACAAAATGATTAACTGTAATAAATCTTCTGTTGGGACAAACTGCATGGGTTTCTTTTAATAACTATGCAGTTTAATTACGAACCCCAGCTTTAATTACAGCTAAAATATAGTGTTTTGTGTCAAACATTTACTTGACATTTATTTATTGTGACATCTTTTTTTGTCGTATTGTGCCATGTTTAATGTTTTACTCGCAACATATTTATAGCTCAAAATGCCAGACAGAGATGACAAACCCCACTGCTCGTAGGTTATTGGGGCCAAAGTCCATATAGTAATTAGAGCTCAGGGACACTTATTGATGGTTGCTTGCCACCTGTAGCACTAAACCTTTTACAAGTCCTCATCCAGATCATATCAGCATCCGCTTTCAAATTGCTTTCGGCTTACTCTATTCGTCCCGAGGGAAAACAGGTGCAAAACAAAACATCACAGATAATACTGTGGAATAATTAAATGTATTTCATTGATTGGGTCTATTATTCTTGTCAACTTTTTAAATGTCCTATTTAGGCTAGACTCTCTAAGGACACATTCTTTGACGCCAACGTTAACCTTGTGCCGGTTGAGATAAGGGACAGCTTTCTGATGAGATTTAGGTCACCGCAAGAGATCCAGTCTTGTTTTTTTTACACTGAGAATGTGTGGATCCGTCAGAACAGCTGCTCTGGTCGATGTCTCTCTGCGTTCTGCTCAGTGAAGTGTGAGAGGCCTGGGAAGCGCCAACAGACTCGTGTGATCCTTATCTGCCACACTCGCCCAACCTGATAAATGAAATTCTGTGAACCACTATTTGACTCTCTGGGCTGAGAGCTGATTGGCTGAGAGAGGGTGCTCGTCTATTTTTCAATTTTCTGTCTAAAAAAGCTTATCTAAAGATGTGACGGGCCTCCATACATGCATGTGAAAACTTGCGATAGAACCAAACCATTATCAGAGCGACGAACTAGATGGATTTTGTGACAGTCCATTTTATTGTGGTTTCAAAGTTTGCTTTCACATCTTTAAGTAACAAGCATAGCCATTTTGAATATTAGTCTGCAATCCCCCTACTGCATAGTGTACGTAAAACAGCAGTTTAGAAAATACGACTAACTTTAACATTAGCTTTTTTGTAATTTGAAATGTGTTACTATCCTAGCATTGCCTTTTTTATTTTAGTAAAAGTTAAACTTTTTGGTTATTGTATATTTTCTTCACTTGACTCAAAAACATATTTCTGAGCATACCTCTAAAGTCAGTAATTTCCTCTCGGCCTCGTTCACGTTCTGGCCGCCGCTCACAGACAAACAGACATGAATGTTATGTTCATCGCCTTTCTCTCTTCACAGTTCCTCAAGTTCTCAAGAGCTGCACAGAGTTCATTGAGAAACATGGAGTGGTGGATGGAATGTACCGGCTCTCTGGAATTGCTTCAAATATCCAGAAATTGCGGTATGTTTTTGATACAGTTTCAAATAATAATGCATTTTCAAATATTTGTTTTATAGTTAGCTACAGCTGTTTACCTTCCAATATATTATTTGAGAGCAGCAGCAACTTTTGCATATCCGATCAAATATAGCTGGTGCACCGTGTATTAGTATTATTATTCATTCATTATTAAACTTCATTGTGGGTTTTCTATAAGAATGACACTGAGAACCAGTATTTGTTCCACAGTGAGGACATTTCATATTTTGTAGTGCAAGTTGCAAATATATAAAATGCACTTGTTAAATGTATTTATAAAGACTGGAGCCCCTATAAGCAGGTAGTTAAAGTAGTGATCTACTTTAACTACCTGCATTGTCATTTATAACAAGTCAATTATGAATGCTTGTTTGTAATTTTAATCGACTTGAATTGTCCTATTTATTATTTCCTCCTCAGACACGAGTTTGACTCTGAACAGATCCCCGACTTGACCAAAGACTTATATATCCAGGACATCCACTGCGTGGGTTCGCTGTGTAAGCTGTACTTCAGAGAGTTACCCAACCCCCTCCTCACCTACCAGCTGTACGAGAAATTCTCTGTAAGTCACTCTGTCTGCGCACTAAACCGCTCTCCCATGTCTCTACTACTGACTTTAGTAGTAGTAGTAGTCTTTATTTATATACCGCCTTTTCACAGCAGATCTAAGTCTCAAAGCGGTTTACAATTGTCAATTTTGGGCATTTGTCTCTCACTCCACACAGAGATGGGAGCGGGGTTGCCAGTACAGGAGGCGCATGCCAGAAATATTGGACATATTTTTAGTGGTAGGGGAAACCGGAGTAACCGGAGGAAACCTACGCAGACACGGGGAGAACATGCAAACTCCACTCAGAAAGGCCCTGGTCCGACCGGGATTCGAACCCAGGACCTTCTTGCTGAGAGGCGAGAGTGCTATCCACTCAGCCACCGTGCCGCCAACAACTTTAACAACTTTCTAGCTTGTATTTGTCATTTGTGCTGCTCAAGCACTACTGTTTATAACAAGAAGTTATTGTTAGTAGTGTTTATGTAAATTGTCCCTTCTCTATTCTCACCACACCCTGTTATTACAATGCACCAAAACCATTGTAGCTGTAATGTCATGCACAAAAGTCAGACCACTGATGCAAAGTAAATGTTTGCTGGTTGTCATAGCAGCAGAGGGCGGCGGTCATACTGATGTGCTCATCGAGATCTCTGAACACATGAACTAACTGACCGACATTTATCTGCCTCTTTTACTTCTCTGTGCTCCCTAAAGGAAGCTGTATCAGCAGCAACTGATGAGGAACGGCTAATCAAGATCCATGATGTCATCCAGCAGCTTCCTCCACCGCATTACAGGTAACGGAGGCCCCACACTGCCCTCCTTTGGTCATTATAAGAACTACAATGCTATTCATTTATTGTGTAGATAATTTAAAATTGTAATCGATATCTAACTGACCAAATGTTATTTTATGCATGTATGATTATTTTTCAAGTGACTTCTTAAACAAATTATATTTTTGTAAATATTTATTTTCTAGAACCCTGGAGTTCTTGATGAGACACCTTTCTCAACTGGCGACATTCAGTTATATCACTAACATGCATAGCAAAAACTTGGCCATTGTCTGGGCTCCAAATCTTCTCAGGTACAATGTTATGTGAATTCTTAAGTCTCGAACATAAGTTTAAAAATTAACTTTGTAATTATGCTCAGGTCTAAACAAATCGAATCGGCCTGCTTCAGTGGCACCGCTGCTTTCATGGAGGTCAGAATACAGTCAGTGGTGGTTGAGTTCATTCTTAACCATGTGGATGTTCTCTTCAGCCCCAAACTAAGCTCACTAATACGAGAAGGGGCAGGTATGTGCGCACGCACACATACAGACACACACAGGCACACTTATAGTGTCACATAGTGACTCTGGTGCTCTGTGCCTGCATTGATAATATTCTGTGCCTTAACAGGACATAATTCGCTATCACGCCCAAAGTCACTGCTTGTCTCTTCACCTTCCACTAAACTTCTGAGCCTTGAGGAGGCACAGGCCCGGACTCAAGCCCAGATCAACTCCCCTGTTACAGAAGACAGCAAGTATATAGAGGTGGGCGAAGGTCCTGCCGCCCTGCAAGGAAAGTTCCATACAGTCATTGAGTTCCCAACCGAAAGGTTTGTACAATGTTTTTCTCCAATATTTATGAATATACATGGTTTTCCGCACTTAAATATCCGCAACTAAAATGGAAGTAATCCCATCTCCTTGTTCATACAACAGGAAGAGGCCACCAATTAAAACTAAAAAGTCACCGGTAGGGAGCTGGCGTTCCTTCTTCAACCTGGGCAAATCATCCTCAATGACAAAGCGGAAGTTGCATCGCAATCCCAGTGAGCCTAATGAGCTGAAGGCCATGGCACTTGCAGGTAAGGCTCAAAGCTCAAGCTGTGTTTTTATTTTTTTTCCAAAACTAAATATGCGTTTTGCATGACAATTGCAGGAGGAAGAGGTGATACAGCCACTTTAAGATCAGCAAAAAGTGAAGAATCTTTGAGTTCCTTACACAATGTTGAAGGTATTTATTGTATTCCCTTGTGTTGCGCAAGGATCCCATTTAAATTGATTAATTTGTGATTTGTCCTTTAAGGGGAATCCAAGGTGTATCGTCCCAGGCGGCCGCGCTCCAGCAGTGATGCCCTGTCGGCCTCCTTTAATGGTGAGCTGCTGGACAGCCGGCAGCACTGCAACTCTTACGACAACCTGGATGGAACAGAGGACAGTGACGGGGACGACGGGCCCATCTGTGTGCCTGCCCTCATCTCACCTCCACGCTCTGCTGGAGAGGACGTGGACCTCAGCCCTCCAGACATCGGCATGGCCTCCCTGGACTTTGACCCCATGTCTTTCCAGTGCAGCATGCCCGACACGTCCGGCACCTTCCCTTTAGAGGAGTCCCTTGTGGGGGCAGAGGCCTCCACACTGAAGAGGAGCAAAACTAACGTCGCTGAAGTGCTTTCTGCCTCCTTTCTGGATAATATGAGCACTCCTGTTGTTGACGTCAGACCCATTGCTGGAGAAAAACGTGAAAATAAGAAGATGACCATCTCTTATTCATACATGGACAAACCAACACAAGCGGTGTCACCAATCAAAAGTGGAAAGAGTACAAGTGTGACAGGCTTAGCCACAGCTGACATTTTCTCTGCTCCTGCACCTAATAAAAGTGCATCTGGACATTGTGCCTCTTCACAGCCATTACCCCCTCCATCATTGCCCAAAGACTCCTCTGTGATGATGGGCAGTGTGCTGCTAAGGCCAGCGGAGGCTTCGCTCACTGAAGCTTTCCAAATGGAGCTGCAGTCCAAGCTCGCAGCCATTGACAGTGAAGACAAGGGAGATTTGAAGGGAGACAATAAAGGTATGATTTGTTTTGCCTTACTTTAAAAAGAGCAGTGCTGTAATTTTTTAATGTCAAGTCTGTATAGTTGATTAGTTAATCACTATTTAATCAACCCTCCAACTTAAAGCTTTATTTCATTCTTGTCTCCAATCACAGTGTATTTTTTCCTTGTGTTCCTTCTAGGGGTTGTATCGTCTGACTCTTCAAGGGAGATTCTCCATCCTTCCCACTGCACTGCAGATCCTGCTCCAGCCCCACTTCTTTCCCACATGACCTTGGCTCTATCTGAATCTTTCCAACCAGTGTCAGTACAGTCGCCCTCAGAGCTCCTCACTCCAATAACACCAATGACACCTTCGCCACAGGATTGTCCTGCTCTGATTCAGCCATTACAACCTGCTTCGGAGATAGAACTTGAACAAAACGGCTCTCCACTGGCTAGCAACGCTGCTTTAACATTAACCTCAGTCCCATCATTTGAGCCCTGTACATCCACTCCTGTCAGAGATGTGTCAGGGGCGAGAAGCAATGTAACCGAGGCATTTGGTAGAGCTGCATCCTCCACCACACCACCCCAAATGGACACCAGTCCCCCAGACACGCCTGTGTACAAGTGTGCGCCTCTGGTTCCTGACATCTCCCCTCACAACAAAAGTCCAGAAAGGCTGCAGGCTTCTCAAGTTACCACAGCATCCAGCACCACTCCAACGACGACACCCACTGGCAGCTTTACAGCAGTGCAACAGCCAACTGCTGACATCATGAAGGTAACTTCACATTTCGCCAAAATAACAAACCATTGAGGTCATGTATAATTCTAACCCTTTGTTTGATTTTCAGAGTAACCCAGAACCTGTTCCACCACCAACACTTCCAAAGCCAGTAGAAGTACATGCTTCTCCTGCTTCAATGACTCAAAAAGTCCCAGTGTCCCTTCCACAATCACACACCTCATCTCCAACCAAAAATTTTAGTCAGAATTCATTTAGGCCTCAGACAAACCCTGCTCCTTCAGCACAATCTGAGATTGCATCAGTACCTCAATCAATACCAGAGAGTCTGCTTCCTCAGCCCGGGCCACAGTCTTTGCCTCAACCTCCTCTTATCTCCAAGGCTAGTGCCCGTGTGGTCCCCACAGCAGCAGAGCCTGTAGAGAAGCCCTGGGAGGCCATTAAACCAGTTCAGCCTAGCACAGAGTCCCATGCACCGAAACCTCCAGCTCCTCCAGTCCGCACCATGGAGAGCAAACTAGCAACAGCTGCACTTAGCCAAAGCGAAGCTCCGTTTCATGTTCCTGGTGAGGGCCATCCAGATGAGCTGGTGCCACGTCCTCCTCTTTCTCCACGTAAACCTTCCACTCACCAACCTCCCTACATGTATCGCACTAAAGCGGAACCACTACTAATCGAGCTGCCTGGCTCTGCCTACTACCAGCAGAGGCCTGCTCCTATTGGCCCTCAGTCCATACCTCACCACTACCGAGCAGACAACATGACACCTCACCCCTCCCATGTGTCCAAGTCTGAGCCTCAGATACCATACAGTGCCCGACTGGACAATAGATACAGCACTTTAGGCCCCCGGTCCTACCACCACTCCATAAAGTCCAGAGGAAACCCCAGAGGTGTGGCCCCAGGCCATCAGGTTTACACCCATGACCGCACCCATGGATATGCCACCATCCGCAGAGTTCACTCAATGCACGTTCCATCCACAATCCGCTCTGTGCCCATTCAGAGAACAGAGGTCCCTCCAGACGATGAACTGTTCTTCTGTCAGCGCCCTGTGTACCCTTGTAAAGCCTATCATCCGCAACAGCAGCAGCCGCAGCAGCAGCAGTCGTCCTCGTCCCAAGCAGACTATCATGTCACACAGCTGCAGCCATACTTTGAGAATGGCCGTGTGCAGTACCGCTACAGTCCATACTCCGGCTCAGGCCCTGTTGATGCTCCCTTTTATGATATCGACCCTTATGGCACTATTCGTGTGCGGCACTTCCACTCCCACAGAGAGCCAGGGCCAGGATCAGGACGCCCAAGAGCAAAGACTACTGGTTACCACTACCTCTCCAATCACATTGGCCCACCTGCCAAAGAACACAGCTTTGTTAGCAGGGACATTCCGCCAAGTCATGGAGCAAAGGAGTCTGCCTATCACACATGGGACGCAGAGGAATGTGAGCGCTACCGCATACACTCCATACGTCGAGAGAGCAGGGCGCGGCAGAAAATCAAAGGCCCTGTACTGTCGCAGTACGACAACGTAGGCCTTGTCACCCCATCGGACATATCGGGTTATGAGACCCTTCACCTGCGCAGCAAGTCCGACCCAGGGAAGGCTGTGCTGGTTACAGCTGAGAGCAAAGATGGACGCTATGTTTCAAGACACGTCATGTCAGATCCTGAAGCACTCATGTATTTGGAGACTGAGAAACAATTCCATGGAAGCCATGTAGGAGAAAGGTCTGAAGGGATTGCCAAGCCAAGTGGTACCAAAAAAGTCCAATCATCTCATTCGCTGTCTGCTGCTCTGAGCCACAGTGTTTCACATCAACAGGAGATCTCTCGTCACACAGACGACAAGCTGCAAGCAGAGAGGTCCAAATACTGGCAGCAGGAGCATTCCAACAAGAGGAGCCTACAGCCTCGCTACGACTGTCCTGATCCAGACCACCTCCAGAACACAGGGAAAACTGTGAGCGGCTATCACAGTTCAGAAGACCAGCCGCGAGAACAAGTGCCCCGCAAACCTGAGCGCTCACATAGTGTTCGAGAACAGAACAGCCAGGGCAAGCCCGACCTGGACCGGGAGTATGTATATCAGAAACTCGGGATGAAGACTGCGCAATCCCATTATGATAACCTGGACGATTATCACCCAGCACCTCAGGTCCCTGCTCCAAAACGTGGGGCCCCCGGCTCCTACCCTCCTCCAGGCTTTACAGTGAACCTTAACAGAGCCTACTCCACAGCACTGGGTCAGGGTGCCTTTATTCAGACTGAACTTGGCCTGCAGAGGCCAGAGACTGAGATCAGAACAGAATGAAGTGTTTCAGAGGAGGTGGACGTGATCTTTATCTGTGTAAAAGGACTATATGGAGCCATGGGTCAACAGTCTCTGCAGGACAGTGGACTGTTGTGTCACCATACTTTTTGTTCCTCTGTATTTTTAATAAATTGTACAGAACGAGACTTTTTACAGAGTCCTGGATGTACCTGAATTTATTGTGAACTATTAAGACGTCATAATTGTATATGAAAAGTCTATGGTACCGTGAATAGGCACTACAGAAATGTATAATATAAATGTATACTATATATAGATCTGTATATGGATAGAAACATTAGTCAAAGGGGATAGATTGTAATTCATTTCCGTTTGGTGTGGAGTGATCGGTCTGGGTATCATCCAGTATACAGTTTGCATTTAAGGAATGCATGCACTCCAATCTATTGCATTTTTGCAGGATGTAAGAGCACAACTTATTGAAGGAGAAAACCGATGAATTGTCTTGCACCCTGATATATGTACACAGTTAAGCAGTAAATTGTGTACTTGTTTCTCTCTGGTATCCAGGTTTACTCATGAAACTAACTGCAGACATTTGTTTTTGTTTTTTTCTGTGACTGCCATGTATGTATCTGTATTAGTGGTATACATTAATTTGTGTTTCTTAAGGGATATTTTGGTGCTTGTGTGTTCTTCCTTAGAAGAGGGACCAAATGATTTGGCACAGTCTCAGCTCGACTTGCACAGCAGTACATGGGGTTATTATACAGTGTGTGGCACCTTTTTTAAATGTGCAAAATGTTGTTTTGTTTTCTTCTTTCCCATCAGACTAATGGTTTTTTGGAAACCTGGACTAAGACGAGATTAAAACCTTAAATGTGTACCCCTAAACTGTAGGAGAACATGCTCTTGATGATTCTTTGTCCTTCAAACAACTCAGCGAGCCTTAAATATGTATCCTGGGAAGTATGTTGACTGCTGTTAACTCATGTTCCAATGCACAAACATTAAACTACTTTTGTTGCTTCCTCAGTTCAGGGTGTCACATGGTATTCTAACTCCTTATTTCATTCTACAGTACTAGGCTAACATTAAGACAGTAGTGCAGACATCTAACCTGTTAAAAACATACAGATATAACGTACCCATTGGCTGATCAGATGCAGAATATATCAAAGTCCATGTTCTGGCTATCTCAAACATTGAGGGTGTTGCTCATCTTTAAAAGCCCTGTGTTGGGCATGGACTTAAAGTTCAATCATGTACTTGAATGTTATTAACGCAGACTTCATTATCTAAGGTCACGTTGAAAATAAAGTGAAAAGAGAAATAAACTTCAGTCTTTAAGAAGCTTTTTTTCCCCTTTAGTGGTGTGTATATACCAATTGAATTGCACAAGAAATATGGTTTCAAGGTGTAGTATTCAGGACATAGTAACTGCATTGTAAACAAACAAAATGACTAGGTAAGTAACTTTAGAGTATTCCACCTCAACATATGAGGGCTTTTATCTGTTGCTTTAATTGCTTGTATAATTTATTTAACCTTGAAAATCAAAGTCCTCACATTAATAACCAAAGCATATGTTATACTTAAAAGGCAATACGGTTTGGGTTATCAATTGCATATCTATAGTTTGTGTCAACATGTACATATTGTATATGAGATGACAAAAATATAAAGTCATTCTCAATAATAAATCCATATAACCTGCATATGATAGCCACATTGTTTACGTTTACATTTCTCTCGTTATCCAATCAAATCGCAGAATGTATCTCATTTGGGTTGCCGGAGTATTTGATGAAATCTGGTGTGTTTGAGCCTAAACTACCTCAGCAGTTGCAGCAGTAGTTACCTGTGTATGCGCTGTACACAGGTAAGACAATGGCAACGCATGGAGTTTGCGTCTTTGGACAGGACCACGCCCCAGCCGCCTCCTCGTCGCCCAGTTGCAGAAGTTGTATATACACCATAGACTGTAAATGTTAAACCGTGGGATGCTGCGTAATCCTCTAATTCTATAACAATAATAACTTAAGTGACCACATTTTCGCTCTTATTTTGTGGAGAAACATAAGGTCTATTCCCCGGAGGGTTTTACTAAAGACCCAAAGCTATGCGCAAATGAAGCATTCATCCAGCTCATGTTGGCTCTATTTTTACTGTATGACATAAAATTTACATATGAAGTAAAGGTTTAAATGTTATGTCCCCGGAGAATCATACAGGTGTAAATCGGGACAAATGTATGCTAAATTGAACGTGCTTAAATTGCAGCAAGGTGGCGCAGTAGTTGGTGCTTGTACTGGGTTCGATTCCAGCACAAAATCTTTGTGGTGTTTGCATGGTGGTCTCGTGTCTGCGCAGGTTTCCGCCGGGTGCTCCGGCTCCCCCTACTACTAAAAACATTAATATAAGTCCCCCATAATAACACCCTGCCCGAACCCATTTTTGACCGCCCTCTCTGTGGCCAGGACTCTCCTAAAATGAGAGGGGGTCTTTCCTAAAAGTAAAAAAAATAAAACATTTTACGTGAGTGTTGCCTTCTACGTCTGTCAGTCTCTGTATGGCATTAATATTTACAGTCTATTCATTTTATCACAGCTGTATTTACAAAGCACGCTACAGTGTTTACAAAAGTTGGCAGGTGCATTCTGGGAGACAGATGATTGACACCGCCGCCATTTTGCTCGCGCTCCATTGTGTGAGATAGTAAATATCCAACACTGCCATTCACTACACACTGCTAACGCTGCGGAAAAACAGCCAAAAAAACCCACGGTAAGTCCCTTCTTCTGTCATAATATTGAACATGAATTACTCTAGTCACTGTTATGTGTAAAAATGACTAGAATGAGCATGTTTGTAATGATAAAAGATCGTGTTTTCCGCTCGAGAAGAAATGCATTTGGTTCTATGCGCGGGGAGAGGAACGCGGCCGTCTACTTCCACCGCCGAGATATGTCGCAAAGAACCAGCGTCTTTGCGTCGGTGGTTCTCTGTCGCTCGGTTTCGTACGTGAGACTGTTTTAGCTTAAACTGTAGCTACACGTGTCTACTATCGGCTGCTGCTGTTCTCTGCCTTCACGCGGTGTAATTTGGGAGACAATTGTAAAAGTTTGCGTTCTGGGCTGTGTCTGTAAAGCGGTAGATGCTGTGGGTCTGCAGCCATAATCCATGCGGTAAGGGGCGGGGCCGTGAGCAAATACGCAGCGTTGATTGGTGGAGAACTGCGGTCTATTTTGATCCTGATTATGTGATTGGTGGAAAACTGCGGTGCGTTTTGAGCTCTATAATGGGATTGGTGGAGCCAGAGGGACCACGCTGCATTGGTCTGACAAGAGTAGGCAGCAGCTGCAGACGGAGAAAAAGTTTGGAAGCAGAGAATTTCAAAGAACAGGAAAAGCAAGGTAATACACACCAGTCCAGGGAAAGATTAGTCTGTTGCATATGAGTAGTTCTTTGCAAAAAACTGATGTGACATTGACAAAGTAGTAAAGCCAGATCTTTTTTAGAGCCATTCAAATAAGGAGTTTCATCCCTGCTTGAGCAAATTCGTTCAAATAAGCTGCAGATAACAAAAGATGAGGAAAATTGTAGCTTGAGGAATACACCTTTTTGACACATTTTCAGCTCAAACTCTTGTTTTGAGCCATGATTAAGTGTAGGTGGTGATAGTAGTAGTTAAACTGTATTTAATTTCACAATGTTGGAACGTTTTTTTAATTTGTTATGGTTCCAGAAGAGAGAGCTCAAAACTTCATACAACTATGGAAAACCTTTGAACTTCATGGGAAATGACGTACATTTTCTTAGCCCTGGAAATGTTATTGAACTGTATATTATTTTGGGGTTTGATAATAAACCTGGATTCAATTATTATTTTTACCTCACTGCATTTTGACCACAGATTATTATTTTGACCTCACTGTAGAAAGTGTAGAAAGTGGTCATCACATTGAAAAGGTATTGAAGTCCGGTTATTCTGTATTTTAAGTTTTTTAGGATGCATTTGATTGTGCTTGTGGTTGGGTTACATTTTTAGCCAATGGGCATGCTTGACACTAGAATAACATGCCTTGAATAGAACCTTTGCAATATCTTGTGTACCAAACCATATTGTTTATCTATTCCTGATATTGAACCTAAACACACATTTAGTAAAGTCTAAATGAGTCAAATAAAATATATAGTGTGGCCACTCATTTTATGTATTCGGCTGCAAACCCAAAAGGAGTTTGCAAGACTTTTTCTCCTCTGCCCAAAATTTCATATGGTTTTATGTAATTATAAAAATGATCTGAATAATTTGGAAAGTGAAACTGTGATAAAATCTTATTTGTCACTACTGATTTCAAGTACAAGTTGTTGAAATTCATGGACAAGTGGTGGAAAAGTTATGACCCTATACAAACTTTGTCCTCAAAACCATATACTGTTGTTTCATAAGCGTTTTCTCATTGTGTAGTGCTCCACTGTCGACATGGCTCGTACCAAACAGACTGCCCGAAAGTCCACGGGAGGAAAGGCTCCTCGCAAACAGCTGGCCACGAAGGCGGCCAGGAAGAGCGCCCCCTCAACTGGTGGTGTGAAGAAGCCTCATCGTTACAGGTATACTGGTTTTATCGATTAATCACAACTAATAGATTATCAAAACAATTGTTAATTGCTGTCCAAAAGCGCAGTTAAAGGAGCCCTTTAACTGTTTAACTGTTTGGATGTGAAATTATTTATTTTTTCTTTTTAATCAGTTTAGTCTTTTTGGATCAAGATATTCTTTCGTATATAACAAATGCCTATGATGTTGAATCACATGATGCAGACAATCATTGATCTGTCGAAGCATGGACCGCAGCTCCTGTCCTCTATGGGACATTGGCAACATGCACTCTAGTTGTATTTATATTAACATTTTAAATCAACAAATTACAAACTCTTGACTTCTCATTAAGAACTGTTATTTTAAGTGACACATGTTGGTTGAAGAATGGGTCGTAACATGAATAATGTGTTTTAGGCCTGGTACTGTTGCTCTGAGAGAAATCCGTCGGTACCAGAAGTCCACTGAGTTGCTGATTCGTAAGCTGCCCTTCCAGCGTCTGGTCAGGGAGATCGCTCAGGACTTCAAGACTGACCTGCGTTTCCAGAGCGCTGCCATTGGCGCTTTGCAGGTGTGTGCACATTATCATATCACTGGGCATCACTTCCCCATAGACATGAGATGCTTTTGTAGTTTGTTGTACTTTGAGAGTAAGGACTTGCTTCTCCATAAAGCTGACTTATACTGGTCTTGGGTGACTATGACTTAATGATTGGAATTCTTTGATGCTTTCTGCAGGAGGCTAGTGAGGCATACCTGGTGGGTCTCTTTGAGGACACCAACTTGTGTGCCATCCACGCCAAGCGGGTCACCATCATGCCCAAAGACATCCAGCTGGCTCGCCGTATCCGTGGAGAGCGTGCCTAGAGTGTCTCCCTCCTGTTTTCTGACCTCTCCCTTACACCTCACCTTGTCCCGCACTCAGACCTTCCCAAACTGCCCAGCTTCTCTGTAGACATTAGAGTAATCATGATGAAGAGATAGATTCACGTAAACGTCCAGTCTCTGCTAGTTTTGATGTATTCACCAAATGTTTTATGGTTCTTTGTGCATGCTATGTTTATTCAGGTGAAATTCACATGTACTTGTGCTCAAATGTACATCCTAATGGTCAAAATGAGCCAGGCTGTTAAGGGGTAGATCATTAGGAGCCATTTTTGTGAGAAAAGGCCCAGACTGGGATGTTGCTGAGGGACTGGTCTGCTTAAGGGGAGCTGCAACTTCCACAGCAGGGTGCTATTAAAACTAGTCCTGAGGCCTCAGACTGGCTGAGCCCCTCTCCAGACCCAGTCTCTGGTCCCCTCTGGGGGGAGATGGTTTCCATGAACATGTGAAATTTGATCTGTTGTGACGGCTTGTGCTCAACACATGAATCTCTTAGTGGCCTGGTTTTTGTATATGATTATGTTTTGTTTCTAATCATTATTAATAATACTTTTTTATTTTCCCAAACTTTAAATTGTGTATGTTACAAAATAATTGAGAATGTCAAGATTACAATTGAAAATACTTTTTTTTCCAGGGTTGCTTGCTTTGCTAGTTTTGTTTGAGCTGTTTCATAAGTCATTGTTCATTTACCGCCACAAGGGGGCGCTATGTAACATATTTTAAAATGCAATTCTCAAAAGATGTTGAATCTCAGCTCATACAGTACTTTGCATGCAAGTTTGTTTGTGTCTCCAACATTTTGCTGTAAATGTGAGGATTTATGTCCCATCAAAGTTGTGATCCACAATTTTAATGTTTTTCTTCTATATTTTCAGTTCTTCAGAAATGTCAGACATTTAAAGGCTGATCTTTGTATTTTCCAAATTTCTCATACGATGGTAATAAATAGTTGTTTAAACAGACTGATGTGCTGCTTTTGTGTTTTTCAAATTTTAGAATTTAGTATTTTTTTGAGCAAGGGATTACTATAATTCTGAAGTCTGGTCGCTAAAATAAAACCTGACCTCTTTGTGACACAGGGGGGCGCTCGTGGTCTGGAAGAGTGTTCTAATCTCTGACTTTCTTGAGTTGAGCCAAAACTTGACTGTCCGGGGTACGGTCTGGTGATTGAGAAATGAACTGTTAAGGTCTGGTATCTCTAAAAACATTTACAACTTTGTATCTTACCCATCGTGTACACGTGTGATGGAGTCTGTGTAGAGCATCAACGATTAAACAATTAAAATACTGATTGTATATTTTTCTAATATATAAGTTGTAATTACCGACTCATTGTCACAGCCTAAACCTATTTTTGAAATAACTTTGTTACAGCACTAGTGTCTTGGTTCTCAAGCTGAACTCTTCTGAAATGCCTTTTCAGTTGCACTTTCCATTCATCTTCTTCCGCTTTATCTGTTGCCGGGATGCGGAGGTAGCAGCACGTGCAGACTCTACACACACTTCCTCACGCTCATCCTGAGAATCCTGAGGCGTTCCCTGGAGCCCCGCTGAGAGACATGTGGTCCCTCCTGGAGTCCCACCTGATTCACGTTTACCTCACTAACTTAATCTCATGTAGAAAATCTTGCATCAGCACTTGAATAGACCCTTATATGCTGCATAAAACAAATCCATGTTTTCTTGAACTCTTGTTTAGACAAATTGTTGCTACAAATTAAATGAACATGTACAGTCTAAAGGGGAATTGCAATATATAACTGCTATTATCAGGAAACTCAAATATTTCTTCTTTATCTTTTACATAACCATCTAGAAGTTTAGCCTACAATGTCTAGAGCTACAGTATCTTATATTTAATACAATTTAACAAATTCTGCTTGAACAATATTTTTTTAAACTTGCACCTCTTAACTCAGTAACCAGACTGCCCTAACTTCTTCACCCAGTGGCCAAAACCTCTTGTGTTTTTTGTATTAAAAAACCACAAAAGAAGTCTAAGAAATAAATTGTCATTATATTGTATCTTTACTCTTTCTGAACACTAGTATGGACGGCCTTTTGTCTCCACCCTCGTTTTTTCTAAGCATAGTTCATCATAATTGTATGCCTTGTCACGGGCTAAATTACACAGACCCCTCTTTGGGCACCACTGTCCTACCTACAGGACAGTCTACAGGTTATTGTTTTGTGGTTCACCTTCCCCAAGGTCTGATGTGTCCTGTCCATCCCCCATCACATCTGCTGCGGCCTGGGATTACCGCCCAAATGTCTGTCTTTGCTGGAGAAGATTACAATGCTGTGCTCCCTCCAGGAGAGGTTAACCAATCAGCATGTACACGCTGTGGGATTAACCAATCATACCACAGAGAGGGAGGTCTTCTCAGGGATTAACTGCACTGGGATTAGGCCCGTGATGAGTGTGGAAAAATGCTTTGAAATAACTCTGCCAAACCTTCTACTATGTGCATTTCAACTCAACATTGTATATTAATTGCACTTGTGTTGACCTAATCATATTAATAATACATGAGAAATTTACAGTGCTGAACGTTTATTTTGAATAATATAACATAAAAATATGAGTATGTTGAACAGCTGTGGACATCTATAGCTATAAAACATGACTGGTATAAACAAAATAAATACATAATTGGACAAACCTCATACAAAATCAAAATCGTCCACCATCCTACCATTTTTCTGGTTTCACAACTATTAAAATACACACGTTTAATATGTCACGTTTGCATTGCAGTAATCAGGTCACATTAGGATTAGAAACTGGTTGGAGGAGTTTGGTAGATTGAAAAACGGGCAGTATGATGGGAGAGATGTTATCTGTGATGTCATACTGTTGTAGGGTTATAGGGAATTAGCATAGAACCTTCATGTGGACGAAATATACATCAAGAAAGTAGACATCAAGAAAGTAGACATCAAATGAAGCAAAAGGCAACCAAAATGACTTTAGTAGCAGATAAAGATGGAGGTAGAGAGAACTGCAAAAATGCTACAAAGAATAGGAAGAAAAGGTGGGTGCTTGCCATAAAGACGTAGGGGAGAGGGCAATAATCCTGACTAATTTACTTAGTGCATTGCTGAAGGGAGGCTAAGAGGATTGGGACACTCCCAGAATCAGATAGACTAAAATAACCAAGATGGACCAGTGAGAGCCATGCTTCTGTATGACGGACATGAGGGTCCATACCTGACCGGAACAAGGCCACCTCACCTCCACACTGTGACAGTAATAGACATGGACTTATATAAGAGTTTGTGTAAAGCAACAGATCCCTATTCATCTAAAATAGCCTGATTGCAATCAAAATACAACACAAGAGTAGAAACAATAAAATAGTATAACACTCAACTACAGGTTTGATACCAAAATAATTACCTACAGTTTAAAAACATGACTAATGAAACAAAACAGATGAAATAAAGAGAACACAAACAATAACACATGGCTAATATACGGGGTAAAGAGAGGAGACTGATCCTTCCTGTTCAAGCAGCACTCCGTTGAGACAAAGAGTATAAAAGAATATTTTGAAGTACACTGGTGTACGCTGTCACGGTCAAAGAAGAGATGGCTCAGTGCATTTCCAGAGTTTTTCAAACTTATTAAAGGCGTTTGTTTCTAAAATAGAAAGGGTCAGGATTTAGGCAGTCATTGGTCCCTTCATCTTCGAACTATTTGAACTAAATGCGATTCTACAGAGGATCAAATAGAAAAACAACATGAAAATGATAATGCGAGAGCTCAAGTCTGCTGGCAAACGGCTATTTCAAAAAATGTTGACACTGGAAATTTGGCTCTTTACAGGACTTGGAACTTCCAGGAGTTCTGGTCTTTGTGGTCCAGACAGTCCATGGTGGTGAAGCCCAGTTTCCAGGCCTGCTGGTCTTTGTAGTCCAGACAGTCGACAGAGGTGAAGCCCAGTGAAGAGGCAGTGCTGTAGCCCTGTGAGGACAGAGAGGCAGGCGACTGGCTTAGGGAGCCCCCCATGGAGGGCACAGTGATGGGACTGAGGGCCCCGCCGGTGCCCGTCAGCTGAGAGTGCATGGGTGACAGGTAGGCACTACAGTCCAGGCCTGTAAAGTAGGACGTGGTGCTGGCGTAACCCTGGCTGTAGGCAGATGGCTGGCCGTAGCTCATGGGGTAAGGAGAGGGCCGCTGCATGCATGGGGCAGATGAGGCCAGGGGGTCTGGGAGGGGTGAGATGGCTGGGCTCCAAATTGAAACTGAATTATTGTTGGAGCTGGGCACCAATGATGGCCCAGACTGGGCTGAAGTCGGGCTGTAAGAGTCAGCCGGCATTTGAACAGGTTCAGGAAGACTTTGCTCCTGAGGTGGAGAGGCCTTCTTTTTAGGGGGACGGGGTTTGGACTGTCCTGCGCTCTGCTGCTGCTGCTGGCGGCACTTGGCACGGCGGTTTTTAAACCACACCTGATTTAAAAGAGAAACAGACATATATCAGATCACAAAGTGTTAAAGGCCAACATTTAGACTTATAGTAGGGAGATAGTCCAAATTCATGCAACAGACAAAATAATGCTGCTGAAATTAAAATGGACTAAAATGGAGGATTCATTTGTATAGACTGGTAGTGGTTCAGACAGGCTGGAGTCTGATATGAAAGATACGTAGCAGAAATGCTGCATCTTTATGCTCCTGATGCTACAGTGTCTGTGACCACCAGTGCTGTACCTGCACACGTGACTCAGGCAGGTTGATCTTCAGTGCCACCTCCTCCCTCATGAAGATGTCTGGATAGCGAGTCTTGGAGAAGAGAGCCTCTAAGATGTCCAGCTGAGTTCTGGTGAATGTGGTGCGCTCCCTCCGCTGCTTCCGTGGAGTGGCTGCACATCCAGAAACAATAGTGTTACCAAAGAAGAGGGTTTTGTTTCTCAATAACATGTCGTTATATCTCCTTTAACTCTCCTTTTGTCGGCTGTATAGATTATTAAAGGGGTCAGAGTTATATCCAAGACCAAACACATTTTGAAATTATGTGTAATTTTTCATTTATCAATATTCTAAAAAATGTAGTTCATTTTGAAGGGTGACATGGATCCATGAGCTTGCACGAAGGAGTATTTGAATAATAAACGATAAAGAAATAAATGATTATGGTTAAGATTCAGCACTGCAGTAATGTTTCCATTCTCTCACACTAATATCAGAGACTTCAGAGGTGCTCCAGACTGTTTGAAGATAACCTGTAAGACTATTGTACCATACTCAAACTTCCTGCCCATTGTTTTGGATAGCTGATGTCTTTGGGAATAAAGATGTAGATTGATATTATTAGAATCACAACTTTTAAATATGTATTTCAGTCAACATAGTCTAGATATAAGGGTAACTGGATGTCAGAGCTATTGATATTTATCTATTACGAGGAAAGATCCGCGTGCGTCAAGTTGAATTTTATTTTTAAAACATTCTGTATCTGTGCACGTGTGCGCGTAACTTGTCAAAACAGAACACTGCATTTGTACATTTCTGATTAACAAACATGAATAGCCGAAGGATTCACTCGTTAGGCGTTAGGACTATATTAATACACATTTCTCTAAAGCCTAAGTATAGTTTGTGTCATAAACCACTTCAAACAATAAGTAACATTAGTTTTTACAAATGAAATATTGTTGTTTAGTACTTACAAGGATAAGCGACGGTCGTGTGCAGCACATCCATCCCGGGCGCAGGCAAATTTAACCCGTTCATGGTGTAATGAGGTTGCTTTATATAGGACATCATCCTTGCAGGCGGCTGTTAAGTCCTGTGACTGTTTAGTCGGACGCGCTACGCAGCAGTGCCCCTGAACAGCAGCGCGGAGGCAACAAGTCTGCGCGCTTCTGCCACGGGACTGCTGCTGCTCCAACCTCTGGACTTTGTTCCAAAAGTTCAATTAGAGCTTTTACTGAGGATCAACTCAGCATCAGCACCAGCAGCACGCCCAGCACACTCTGACCACACACTGACCACACACTGACCGCTCACTGCATGTATCTGTTTTCCTCAGGTGAATGACAGGGGGATGTCCGTGCGCCTGTCTCAAGTCACCTCTGAGTTCCTTTACCGCACACGCTGCTAATTAGAGGAACAAGTGGCTCCACAAACCCCTCCCACCGCGCACACGCTCCCAGAGCCACGCAGAGGTACGCAACAGGCTGCGCACTAGTCACTACAACTTTATCACTGCCCCAGTTACACCGACATTTATTATTACACAAGTTAGGCTTGTGTAATAAGTTAGGCTTGTTCAGTTATTAAAGTCACAGTGTTGGCTTTTGCAGCGTTCCCATGTGCCCCTTTGAGACTTCAGTTCACCCTTTTGACACATTTATGCTTTGACGTATATGAATTGAAAATGTGGAATGTTCATTAAAGGGCCATTGCGGCTTTAGCGCCTTGTTAAACCTATGTATGTTCAGTATGTTCAGTATAAAGCACACTTATAAGCCCAAAGCCTTCCCTGATACCCCATGTTATCCTCACAAAGGACAGAGGTGAGCAGTTTAGCTCCAAAACAGCTTTGTTCACACATGCTGTGAGCACCAGCACTCTAACACCCAGATGCACAAACCCACAAGCTCATTTGATTTATCATAATATGCTTTATCTGAAAAGTAAGTATCTTATCTCCAGATAAAGGGAGGAAAGGCTGACCAATCCGTTCAGTTCCACACAGAAAGGCAGCAGTGGAACTATATACCCTGTATTTACTTCTACAGCAAAGGGATGAATCAACAAATGATGTTTGTAAAGAAGAGCGTTGTGGATACAGGATGCTTCAGCTTCGACACTGGACACTGACTTATGTGATCTAAACTGCAACAATGAGGAATTTACGGACACTTTTTTGGATGACTTTTGTTTTCCTTCACAGATGACAGGTTAATTTGTGGGTTTTTTATCAACTACTCTGAAATGAGTATGATGTAATTGATGTAATTGTTTGTTTTATCTATTATGTATAATGTTTTGCTCATTTATTGTGTGTGAAGGACTTGACAAAGTAGATGTTGTGTTTATTACAACAGCTCATCCTGCAGCTGCACCAGAAAACAGGGAAGTAGGCAAGAGGACTGAGCTGGCGTAATCCCTGTCCCGCTCCCTTCCCCCTATGGACAGCCGGGATGTCGGGGCAAGAGATTTTCATTTCAGTGTGGTTTTCAGTGCAGACAACAAATGCAATTGTAAGTCACAAATGATGTTTCTGAGAAAAATATGTATATTTTGGTGAATGAGAGCAGAGGTGTGTGACGACAATCACTGGTGGAAACAGGTGAAGGGGCAGAGTGTGGGGGTGACTTGTCCCCACTGACACACTGCTGCTGTTAATCCAGATTAGAATGTCTAAAACAGGTCGGCTAAATCTGCTGGCCAGCCAGCAATACAGAGGCTGCTGTCAGGCCCAATCACTCAGAACACACACGCACGTACACACATGCGCACAGTAATAATCTCCTATGTGCGCACAGGTGCCACCCGCTCTGTACCGACGCTCCAAGAAAAACATTGTACATTTATCTTGCATTATCGAAGTTACAGAGGAGTAACGTTGGAAGTTTGTATTGAACATTGAAACAAACCGTAGTTGTGGATTATTTTAGATACATGAATGAACATGTATCTAACATATGGGTTATGGGTTTATGTTTCCTGTAACCTAAAACTCTCTAATAATTACATGCAACAAAATAATCCATGAAACTTGATGTACAGAGTCTGTTAACACTCACTTTTTTTTCTATGTCATGATGAGTTTTGAAAACAATAGTCCAGCTTCAACCCTCTTCCGTTTGCTCATTATATAACTAATAAATCCAATACTTAAAACATTATTACTATTAATGCAGATTTGTCTGAGACACAATCAATCAAAGAGCCACATCCTTCTCCAGAGCTGTAGGTTCCTGAGCCCTGCCTCAGGAACACTTCTTACTGTGTATTGATTTCATATCTGCTTTAAATGTATTCAGCAGATTCTGGCCCAAAGAACAATATTGTGAATGTGTTTATTTGCTGGTTGCCCCACAGGCCCCAGCATGTGGCTGTTTCTAGTCCTCCTCTGGTCCACAGGCTCGCCACATGGCTATGTGCTTTTGTCCCTCCTGTTAGTGTTGAACATGAATAAGTGCAAACGCTGACACCAAAACCGGATAGTTTAAAGTTTGCGGATGACACCATAAATTGTGTCTCTTCAGTTCGGCTCAAACTCTGAATCCGGTTCTGTCAACTGACAATAATGTTCTGTGTTAATCGCCCTTTTTTAACATCAATGTCACCAAAAGACCAAAGACATGCACATTGACTTCAGGACTCCCTCGTGCTAGTCTCCTTTCACTCTCTCCGGGTTGACCAGGTGGAGCTGTACAAATACCATGGACCACAAACTGATGCTCTCTGTCTCGCAAACAAAGTTCACAATCTCTGAGCGTGAACTTCTTTTGCAAAGTGAGGAATTTCAATGTTTCAATGTTTTATTCATGTTTTATTGAATCGGTTTTTGCCTTCTCCTTTGTTTGCTGGTTTGGAGCGTTATCTCTTCAAAGCGAATATGCAGAATACTGTCCGCTCATGTGGAAAATTGCTGGAGTCACAATTACTGACCTCCAGGACATCTGCAGGGCTCAGATCCTCAAGAGCTCAGCAGATCTCCTCAGTTTAGGATGCTCCCATCTGGCCGCAGATATTGTCCCTAGACGCTGAACCAACAGTGTCTAGGGGCAACTTTGTCAGTCCTGTTGCCATCTTGTGTTATATGTTTCTATTTGTAGTATGTTTTCTGAGTCAATAAGTTCATGTAAATGCGATTGATCATTTTTAAAGGCCTAAACCTAAACCACACGCACAAACACACATGCTAAAAAAGATGAAAGCTTAAATCATGATGCTAAGTTCAGGTAAAACCATCCGAGCCACACCCGCCATACCCCCCCACACATTATGAACACTAAATTTAAGAGTCAAATTTAGGGTAGAATTAAAATAATGAATATGAATTATTGTAAAAATAAGGCGTCCTCTGATGCGTTGACCTCTACAACACTAACAGTTATCCAAAAGTAGACTTTTGAGGATTGTTTACCTGCTCAGTGAAGGATATGGATAGTGCATATAGATGTTCGGTTTAGTCATAATATTGTAGTTTAAATGTTTTAATTGGTCAAGCGTTGCCAATGGTCTACTCCATCACAGTGAAACATTAAATACAACTATTATACTGTGTCTTTGAATGTGAAACGGTTCTCACAGAGAGAATCAAATCAGGATGGAACAGAATAAATGTTTATGGTTATAATGTACATTTCACCTCTGGAATAAATATAATGAGAACAGATGAGGTTGATTTACTCTTCTATTCATCATTCATTCCTTTTCTTCCACTTTGTTGAGGTTGATTTACTCTTCTATTCATCATTCATTCCTTTTCTTCCACTTTGTTCCGCTCATCCGGGTGAATCCCAAAGAGTTCCCAGGCCAGCTGAGAGAGTTCCCCTGGCGTGTGACACCCTCATAACACCTCCACAGGGAGGCATCCGGAGCAGAAGTGAAGCTAATAATTGTGGAGGTCTGAAACAAACATGTTACAGAATCCCGAGCCTCCTCAACTGGCTCTTGTTAAAGTGGAGCAGCGGTTCTACTCTGAGCTCTTCCAGAGATTCTCACACAAAGGGAGCGCCCAGCCGCTCTGCAGAGGAAGCTCATTTTGACCACATGGTCCAGCTCTGACTGCAGACACTGCTCCCTCTTCACCACAACGGTCCGATACAGCGACCGCATTACTGCACACTGTACTGATCCGTCTGTCATTCACACCTTGACACATCAAAATCTTTTTAAAGTCTCTCCCCCTCTCGTCTCACTGGATTATTGTGCAAAGGCCGACAATCTTTTTGTTATTGTATACAATATATTTGGTATGACATATGTTATTATCTTGTAAGTAAATTATGTCCTTTGTTTGCAACATATATTTTATTGTTGAGAAAGTGAATACATGCTGTTTGGATATCTATGTATCTCTACATCATAGACAGAAATCCTGGTCAGTTGGAGGAGTTTTGCTTGGTGCGTGTGTTCAGGGTTGGTTGAGGAGTCTGAAGAACTGGAATGAAACAATCAAGGAACCTCCAGAGGAACGAGGTCCACGGCCTTCTCTTGTTTGTTATAGCTTTGACGGCCAGTACAAAATATTACATTAAGACAGATCTCAGACTTGAAAACAACTTGTAAAGTGTGTGGATGTGCGTGTATTTGTGTGTATGTGTGTGTGCGTGTGTGTGTGAATCAGGAGTTTGCTTGTGGAGGTAAGGTGTGTCGGTAAGGATGAGTGATTACAGTGGACAGTAATCCTGCACATGGATTAGCAGGTGGTATTAGGAGAAGTGGGGGTGTGCAGAGGCCACCTCTGAACTCTCACAATATGGAGCAGGATGGTGCACTCTTATACAAGGGTCACACTCCTGACACCACCTGGACTTATCTTCTCCACGGATACAGTCAATTTAGCCAACGTGACAATTGACATTGTCACATTGAAATGTATAATGAAGAACTAACAAAACAATTTGTTGGGTGTCAGCTTCCTTTTACAAACTAAAATATGTGGAGAATAAAACTTCAGTTAGTTACAGAATTTAAAAATATGTTTATTTTTGTATCACAACATACACAGGCTTGGGGAGTTACAAAATACATATTGATATATTTTTTAATGTTTTAGCCATTTTCAGAATACAATTACTTACACAATACAAAACAGTATTTGACTGCTCAAGTACCATATTGAATAACGCAGAAGCGTAGAACATTAGAAAACAACTAATACTAATTCTACTACTGCTAATACTAATTAAGCATACAATACAGTGTTCTGTTTGTACCATGTGACGGATATTATAAATTACTTTTTAAAGGTATAATTTAGAATTCTTTAACTACGTTATTATTATTGACCTTTAATAAACAAAGAAAGTCCCTCTGAAATTTCAGATATGGTGTGAAGGGGCATTATAGATATGTAATGCTGTTTAAAAACTCAACAGAATCTTGTGGTCATGTTTGGCGCTGCATTTCTCACATAAACTGTACTATCTGTGATCTTTCTACTTCACTATATGCAAATGTTTTTACTGACCCCTGGTGGATACCAGAATGCTTCCTCTTTACAACAAGTGTCTGTGCTGTGTATTCATAGATCACTCATCATCAATAACAAGCTTTTGTGTTATTGTTATATTTATTTATTTTTAAATATATGTAATATAACTTAAACTAAACTAAAAATCACCTTGCGTTGGTGCTGCCTGATAGCTACCGGGAGATGGCAGAATAACCATTAGGTCGTGTTGTAGCTGCATTCAAATTCTAGAGAACAAGAAATGGTCTTTTGTTGCGTTTGAGACGTTAGAATTTTACTGTTCCTCCTTCCTTTTATTACATCTACTACTTAATATACACCATTAATGATCGTTTATATGATATCCATGTACACAAAGAACTGAGGTGTAAAACATATCAGCTTTTATATTTTTGGAGCCTTTTTCTATGTTCTTGAAGGAGAGTGTACGACAGCACTTGAACGCAGCAGTGCACAAGGCGGATGTTGTGTTTCCGGGCTCCCCGCTCAAGTGCACATGGATGTATTTATAAAAACATGTGCCAATTCTTCCACTATGTCAGTACTTTAGCCTTAATGACGTGACCCGCTGGATTGACATTCCCACTGCCTTTCCCCCAGAGTTTGGAGCTTCACGTCAGCAGTGGTCGGACTGGACTGTGGTCATAGACTGGTCATAGACTGGTCACAGACTGGTCACAGACTGGTCACAGACTGGTCACAGACTGGTCACAGACTGGTCACAGACTGGTCATAGACTGGTCACAGACTGGTCATAGACTGGTGTGGAGCTGGCGGCATGTCTCGGGTGGAGTTCCCGATGGTGGAGGACAGCTTCACCCGCTTCCCGTCCCAGAGCAACATGTACGGGCTGTGTCAGGCCGGAGAGCAGCAGCTTCTGGCCGCCACCCTAAAGGGGAAGGTGGTGTGTTTCAGGTACCATGTGCTGCAGAGGACGGTTCGCCCTGTGGCCAAAGAAGTGCAGTTCACCTACATCCCAGGTATGTTTGGACAATACTTAAGCATGGCAAGTTTATCTGTATAGCTCAATTCACACACAAGGCAACTCAAAGGGCTGAACAAAACAAGATAGAAACAATCCAATCGTAAATAATCTCAGTACATTAAAACGAGTGAAAATAGAATCCTTCAGTTGCATGCACAGCTAAAAATAATTGTTTTAAACCTGGATTTGAACATTGTCAGAGAAGAAGTCTGTCTCACATTTTCAGGAAGACTGTTCCAGAGTTTAGATGCGTGAATCTGAAATGCAGTCTCCCCATGTTTAGTTCTGACTCTGGGCACCAGCAGGAGGCCAGTGCCTGTGCTCCTCAGATTCAGAGTTGGTCCAAACTATAGTCTGATTTACAGTCTATAGTTTAACCTCTGATTTTACGAACCACGGAGCAACCATACTTCACTCTCCTCTTTATGTGTAACTATTAGGAAGATCTGTGCCCCCCCTTAGTGCGAGCTGGGTCCCCCTGGAGGGCATCAGAGGCACTACAGAGGATCCCCCAAGTGTTTTACATATTAAAGCTGGGTTACCTAACTTGATTGTTTTATAAATGCTATGCTGTCATTCCCAACAGAAAGAGCTGTGTAAAATCAGACAACATGCTTCCTTTTTTGTATTAGAAAACATGTTGTCTTTTTCACTCCATTCACTGTATTGTCTTACAAAAAATAAATATGCGTTTTAGTTTTGAAATGTTTATGCACTTAGGTTTCAGTTTTGTTAGCCATGAATCCACAAATAATACATACGTTTTTGTCAGAATTATTGTTATTGTAAGTAACATAAAGTCACAATATATAATTTTGCATTGTTATTTGGTTTAAACAAGTTATAAAAAGCAAACAAAGTGTTATAAAGGCATGCATGAAAAAAATAACGTGTGTATGTACATTATATAATACACAATTGCTCACAATTGTGTATTATATAATGCACAGTGGCTGAGTGGATAGCACTCTTGCCTCTCAGCAAGAAGGTCCTGGGTTCAAATCCCGGTTGGACCAGGGCCTTTCTGAGTGGAGTTTGCATGTTCTCCCCGTGTCTGCGTAGGTTTCCTCCGGGTGCTCCGGTTTCTCCTACCACTAAAAATATGTACAATAGGTCTGACATGTGCCTCCTACACCCCCACCCAACAATTGTAAACCGCTTTGAGACTCCGATGTGCAGTGAAAAGGCGGTATATAAATACAAGGTTACTTACTTACTTACAATAGACATTTTACAGTCCATTATGGTCAATGTAGCCAATAATTCCCTTTGGCTGACGTGTCCACAATTTGGTACAGAAATCAGACGAAGATATCCAAGTTTAACATCTGCATTTAATTATCTTTACAATCAGATACAGAATATTCAACAAAAAAGTGCTCCTACAACTAATATGTCCCTCTCCTCTTCCCCTGCGCTAACCTTCCCCCCAGAACTCAAACCAACAGTTTTATCAAGACGTCTGATGACGTCACTTGTGGGACTGGTCTGGCCCCTGGTCCTGGTCTGGACCCGGTCTTCCATCTCCACCTGAGCAAACAATGCCCCCCACCACTGGGCGCCTGATTGTGTTGGACTTTTGCCCTCGTCGAGAGTGGGAGAGAGCATTTGTTTATTCTTGGAGTCAATAATTGTCTGGTTTTGTAAGCTGGTCATCTCTATGATTCCTGAGTGCATATTCCTTTGTCTGATGTGCAGCATTTTGTGAATATTCGTCATCAACTTGAAGGATCTTCACTCTTTTTATTGTACTGTGTACTTATTTTTATCTCTTGTATTGTTCAGCACTTTGAGTTGCCTTGTGTATGATAAGATAAGACTTTATTGATCTCACACAGGAGAAATTTACATGTCACATCTGGCATGGATAGAAAAAAATTTGCAAAGAAAGAAGTGTGCAAACATGTTAAATGCAGGATATACTGCATTATGTACAATAAAAGTGGCAATTGAGAAACAGTGGCAATAGTAGTGCAAGGTTTTTATTTTTATTTTTTTCAGTCCTAGTGCAAGTGACTTAAAGAGCGACTAAACACCAAATCAACTTTTTTCAACCCATAAACTGCATAAATATGTTTATTGTAGTGCTCTCTACATATCCTGGTCATTTTTTTGACATTTTAGTTCAAATTAAATAAAATATCACTTTTGAGCCAAAAAACGTCTGTGTGGCGCCCTCTCAACCTTTTTGGTGGTACTACATTTGAATTTGGTTCTGGCCTCTCCATTGACTCTGAAGTTCTCTATGACATCAGTTGTTTTGTGTGACGTCAGTCTGTCAGAGCCAGTGATATAAACCCATTCAACTCTCACACACGCCCCAGCTGCAGTTTGGAGTATTCTGGCGCCATCTAGTGGATTAAAATTAAATGACATGAGTCATTCAGAGATTATTGAGTGTGATTAGGTTCAGGTGTGTAGCTTTACAATTATCTTAGTGTGTAAACAAGGGTGGAATGAGACTTTCTGGTCTGTAAACTATTGCTTTAAGCAGCAATGACAACTGTCTGTTTTTTTTAGTGTGACAAGTGAGCTGTCAATCACAGCCCAGACCTCGCCCAACTCTAAGCCCCCCTTATTGTCCCTTGGTCCTCCAGGCAACGCCCTTTTAAAAGAAACTTTTCAAATGTTCATGTGGGCGGAGTAAGGCTGGGCACAGGTGTTTAGTCGCTCTTTAAAGTGACTTATTGTACAGTGTGACAGCAGTGGGGATAAAGGCCCACTGCTCAGACTGTACAATAAGTCACTGCAATGAACTGTGTATGAACTGTGTATGAACTGTGCAATACAAATAAACTTCCCTAAGAATCTACACAACGTGCATTTTGTGTAGACTAGATCATATGTTGTGTGAACAAATATTTGTCACACCCTGGCCCATAGTGTTATATTTGTTTTGAAATCTAAATTGGCAAAAACATAAAAAAAAAAAAATCATCTCATTGACTCAACAAAATCATTGTTATTGTATGGTGCCTTTTGTTTAGCCAGTGATAAGACTAATTGGCTATAAAGTGTAATGTGTGTGTAATGAATGTGTTTGAGTATGCACTGTGATATCAACTGTGTGAGTGAGGAAATGGAGCGCAGGATTACTCACACAGACTGCTGCGAGGCCGATTGTGGCTTCTGTGCTCCATACGCCGACTCCCACTTCACTCCCATTCATTACACTCACACTAGCACCGCTCACTTTACAGGGACTTGGACATATGCGAACGATGGTCAGCTCCACACTGCAAAAAGGGATAGAAAACAAGTGTAAAATTGCTCAAATTTGGCAAAAGATTTTCTATTTGGACAAGCAAAATGATCTTGTTTTAATGATGTACAAGAAATGTCTCCCTTCACTACAAAAAGTGATCAATTATGAGGTAATATGAGGTTTTTATCTTAATTTCAGTACCTTCTGACGGTATTTCTTGAATCTTTTTAAACAAGAATATTCTGCTTTGTCACATTGGCAGAGCTTGTTTTAAGGCAGTCAAAATGGGCTCAATTTAAGATAAATTTTGGCCAAATGTTTTTTTCTTATATTTCCTCACTTTTTTTGCATTATTGGAATGAGAAAAAAGCAACAGTTCTTGAAATGAGACTTAGTGGCTTTGTCCCATTGGTAAATCTAGTTTGTTTTGTCAGAATGTACTCAAATTAAGATAAAAACCACTCGATTCAAGCAATTATTACCTCATATTGTATCATTTTTTCCAGTGGAGTGTGATATTGGACAAATGAACGTGCATTTAGCTCATGCAGTCTATTTTCTCTTTCTAGTTGATGCTGAAATTGTGTCTATCGATGCATTCCACAAGTCTTCTCCAAAGCGAGGTCTGGTGGTCGGGATCACATTCATAAAGGTATTTGTCAAACTGCATATTTTATATTCTTAATGTTTAGTAAGTGTATATAGCCTCTTTCACAGACAGTCACAAATCACTTTACAATTTAGATTAAGATTAGGAGATCCTTTATCAATGAATAAGCACAAGATAAATGAATAATTACTCAATACTCAAATAGAATAAAATCTCTAACCTTAGCATAATAAAGAAACAAGTATAAAATATAGCTTTAGCCTAATACAGAAGAAACTATAACATCTTCAAGAAATGTATAGTTGTTAGCAGCATGAGGGTATGTAAAGTGACAGCACATATGAGACCAACATGTTTGTAGTGGTAGGGGAAACCGTATCACCTGAAGGAAACCTACGCAGACACGGGGAGAGCATGCAAACTCCACACAGAATGGCTTTGTCTGGAGGTGGAATGTATTCTCTAACTGTATAAGACACACTTGTGCAAATATGTCAATCTGTGTTTGTACAAATAGAAGTTTTACCACAGCACACCAGAGGGGGCGCCATCATGGTCTGAGGTGCTTCCTTCAATGGAACATGGGAGCTTCAGTTCGTGCTCGGGGCATAACCTCACGACCTCAGGGCTCTTTCAACATCTGCAGTTCACAATGGTTGCCTGAAAAGAACTTCTTTCCGATGATTAACTGGTCTCTCTTTCGGCCCGTCCTTTCTGCTCAATGATCCATTTGAGAACAATTGGAGATACTAACCACTCACTACTCACTACTAAGACCTTTCCTGAAACTCTGTATTTCTATCTCAGTGTGGTTTCAGGGTTATTTGAGCCATGGTCTCAAAGTGAAGCGCTGATTAGAATCTATTCTAAAATGAATAGTGCAAAATGTAAAGTGCATTTTTTCGGATTAAAATTGCAATAAAGATAAGATATGTTTTTATGGGATTCACATTCGAGCAAATAGTAGACCTTCCACCTGCAAAGTTGTTTTGTGCACCTTTTTACGTGTGGGGGGTCAAACCGGTCCTCAAAGGGCAGGTGTGGCAACAGTTTTTCATTCCAACCAAGCAGGAGCACCCCTGGCCCCACCCATTTCCTCAAGCGAGTCCAGTCTTAACCTGAAGTCTTGAGGAAACGGATGGATACAGCCACACCTGCCTTTTGAGGCCCGATTTGACACCCCTGACTTAAGCAATTATACATGTTAAATCAATATTTTTACAGGACTTTTCAAAAACAGTGTTTACAAAGCACTGCCCAATCAGCATAAACCATAAAAACACTCAATAAAACAGTCAGATTATTACAAATATACAAATGAATTAACAAGAGATACAGGAAAACAAAGGAGACAGAAGGAACAAAAGAGGAAAGACAAAATAAAGACACAGTGAAACGGTAAAATGGGAAGGCAAGTTTATTTGTATAGCACAATTCATACACAAGGCAACTCAAAACAAGATAGAAACAGTCACACAAGGCATTCAAATCATAAATAATCACTGTACATTAAAAAGAAAGATAAAAATATAGAATCCCTCAGTTGTATGCACAGCTAAACAGAACCGTTTTTAACCTGGATTTAAACATTGTCAGAGAAGAAGCCTGTCTCACATCTTCAGGAAGATTGTTCCAGATTTTAGCAGCATGAATCTGAAATGCAGCCTCCCCATGTTTAGTCTTGACTCTGGGCCCCAGCAGGAGTCGAGTCCCTGTGCTCCTCAGAGTCCGGCTCGGTTCATATGGCACTAACATGTCACTCAGCAGTTAAAGGCTGTGAACCGGTGAAATGATTAGACTAAGTTTTTTAAATTTGTGAATCCGCCCGCTGCAGGACTCCGGGGACAAAGCCACTCCCTTCCTGAATATCTACTGCGACTACGAGCCCGGGTCGGAGTTCAACCTGGAGTCCATCGCCCGTGAGTGTGTGCGAGGCAGGAGGTTTCCCGTGACTCGTGACAGATGCTTGGGCTCATTCTGCTGTGTTTGTGTGAAACAGAGAGCTGCCTCAATCTGGAGCTGCAGTTTACACCCTTCCAGCTCTACCACACCGAGTGAGCGAGCGACCCGCTAAGAGGCCGAGTGTGAAGCGGCCCGTCATTAAACATGTCACTGCTCTCATCTGTGACAGAATACACAAGTGGGTTCTTTCTGAATACTAAATGCGTCTTGTCTCTCAGAGTGCAGTGTGATGATGGAGCCAAAGAGACAGTGTTTCTGCTCAGCGGTCACGACCAGAGGATCCACCTTTACAAAGAGGTGAACACGCACACAAAAATCCATTCAATTCATTTTTGTACAGCCCTAAATCACAGCAGGAGTTATCTCGGAGGACTTCACACAACCGTTGAATTCTTGCCAACACAGATCAGAGAATAAAACTGTCCAAACACAAGAAATGCAATGTTAAAAAACACGTAGAGCCAGTGGTCCATATGCGGCAGATGACCACGCTGCAAAAATGGGATGAATCATCAAGTTAATAATTGCTCGAATTTGGCAAAATGTATCTTATTTGAGCACTTTCTGACTGCCTTAAAACAATATTTGCCAATAGGACGAAGCAAAATGAAGAGTTCTTGAGATGAGACTAAATGGCTTTGTCCCATTGGCAAATCTTGTTTTAAGACAGTCAGAAGGCACTCAAATTAAGATAAAAGACACTTGATTCAAGCAATTCCGACCTCATGTTTTTGCAGTGAATGTATTCTTGTATAGCCCTAAAACACAGCAGTACAGTGCCTTGCGAAAGTATTCGGCCCCCTTGAACCTTTCAACATTTCGCCACATTTCAGGCTTCAAACATAAAGATATGAAAATTAAATTTTTTGTCAAGAATCAACAACAAGTGGGACACAATCGTGAAGTGGAACAAAATTTATTGGATAATTTAAACTTTTTTAACAAATAAAAAACTGAAAAGTGGGGCGTGCAATATTACTCGGCCCCCTTGCGCTAATACTTTGTAGCGCCACCTTTTGCTGCAATTACAGCTGCAAGTCGCTTGGGGTATGTCTCTATCAGTTTTGCACATCGAGAGACTGGAATTCTTTCCCATTCTTCCTTGCAAAACAGCTCGAGCTCAGTGAGGTTGGATGGAGAGCGTTTGTGAACAGCAGTCTTCAGCTCTTTCCACAGATTCTCGATTGGATTCAGGTCTGGACTTTGACTTGGCCATTCTAACACCTGGATATGTCTATTTGTGAACCATTCCATTGTGGATTTGGCTTTATGTTTTGGATCATTGTCCTGTTGGAAGATAAATCTCCGTCCCAGTCTCAGGTCTTTTGCAGACTCCAACAGGTTTTCTTCCAGAATGGTCCTGTATTTGGCTCCATCCATCTTCCCATCAATTTTAGCCATCTTCCCTGTCCCTGCTGAAGAAAAGCAGGCCCAAAGCATGATGCTGCCACCACCATGTTTGACAGTGGGGATGGTGTGTTCAGGGTGATGAGCTGTGTTGCTTTTACGCCAAACATATTGTTTTGTATTGTGGCCAAAAAGTTTGATTTTGGTTTCATCTGTCCAGAGCACCTTCTTCCACATGTTTGGTGTGTCTCCCAGGTGGCTTGTGGCAAACTTTAAACGAGACTTTTTATGGATATCTTTGAGAAATGGCTTTCTTCTTGCCACTCTTCCATAAAGGCCAGATTTGTGCAGTGCACGACTGATTGTTGTCCTATGGACAGACTCTCCCACCTCAGCTGTAGTTATCTGCAGTTCATCCAGAGTGATCATGGGCCTCTTGGCTGCATCTCTGATCAGTCTTCTCCTTGTTTGAGATGAAAGTTTGGAGGGACGGCCAGGTCTTGGTAGATTTGCAGTGGTCTGATACTATATATCAGTATAGGTCATTTCAATATAATTGCTTGCACAGTGCTCCTTGAGATGTTTAAAGCTTGGGAAATCTTTTTGTATCCAAATCCGGCTTTAAACTTCTCCACAACAGTATCTCGGACCTGCCTGGTGTGTTCCTTTGTCTTCATGGTTCTCTCTGCGCTTTAAACAGAACCCTGAGACTATCAAAGAGCAGGTGCATTTATACGGAGACTTGATTACACACAAGTGCATTCTATTTATCATCATCAGTCATTTAGGACAACATTGGATCATTCAAAGATCCTCACTGAACTTCTGGAGTGAGTTTGCTGCACTGAAAGTAAAGGGGCCGAATAATATTGCACGCCCCACTTTTCAGTTTTTATTTGTTAAAAAAGTTTAAATTATCCAATAAATTTCGTTCCACTTCACGATTGTGTCCCACTTGTTGTTGATTCATGACAAAAAATATTTTTTTTATATCTTTATGTTTGAAGCCTGAAATGTGGCGAAATGTTGAAAGAATACTTTCGCAAGGCACTGTAGTTATCTCGGAGGACTTTACAAAACAGTTGAATTTGCCAACACTGATCATGAAACTTTTAGAATGAAACTCTTAAAACACAAGAAAAAACCACATAGAGCCATTGGTTCATAAGGGGCAGTTGACTAATTTCCATAAATGTTGTTGAATGTCGAGGACCCTGGACCATCGCCACTGTCCTAAAACCCTTAACTATTGTTGTGTCTGTTGAAGTTTGAGCAAAACCGAAGCTAGAGCCACATTTTTTTCACTTCACATAAATGAATCTTTGACAAATGTTTACCTAAGTTTTTGAGCTGGGGAGAAAGCCGTGTGTATAATCTCTGTCATTCTTGGGGAGAAGATGTGGCACACAAACAGACAGATTAAACAAAGCCTTTTCCTTTCATATGCCTCTGGTGTGCATCGACAGAACGCCTCCCTGCACCAGTTTGAGGAGCAGCCCGTGGAGAGGCTCTTCCCTGAACTGCAACAGCTGCCCAGCAAGTCAGTGTGTGCGACATACTACCATGTTTAAGAAGTCTGAGGTCACTACGTTCTTTGTGTGGATCGATATATACCAGAAAGATTTATTTTTAGTTTTGGCTTCTCTACCATTCCTAATCTTTAAAGAGGAATTTCTCAGGACTCCCTTAAAAAAGAGGTTCTTAATCTCAATGGGACTTTCCTGGTTAAATAAAGGTTGAATAAAAAATCTGTATATAAATAACTGAATATGGTAATCAGTCGACAAATGAATTCAGTTCAATCCAAACATGACTCTTTGTTCATAATTAATAAAAAGTAATTGTTCAAATGACCTGCAAATTTTTCAAAGCGGTAAACACACCGAAACAAACTGTCCACAAATAAAATACTGGATTTCTTGGTATTTTTTCTCCTTTTGAAAATGAGCCTGTTCCATCACCATTTTAGCTGATTATTGCTATAATGAGTGATCGATTTTATTTTTACTGCTACTGGACACCCTGAATTTCTCCTATGGGGATTAATAAAGAATCTATCTATCTAACATACATCAAGTCTTTCATAGAATAAACAAAAAAAATGTTGTATTTTGTCACAACAACATTAGCACTAAGCCCCTGTTAGTTTGTGGAATCTAAACCATCTAGCTTGCCTTTTAAAGCTTATTTTGGCAACACAATCTGCCATTCAAACTGATTTTTAAATTTAATTCGGTCATCATTGGATCGTCAAAGTTTGAAAAATTCAGTGTTGGTCGATCTCTAAACTTGTGTGTATTTCTTCTGAGTTGTCGTTCTTCTTTGTTGCGTTACTGTGCTCTCTGTCCTGTACGCTTTACACTGGAACCCCAACACCTTCTCTAAACACATGATACTGTTTGTGTAGTTAATGAGTGTGTTGCTTCACAGCGTGTTGTGGTTGGACATGCGGAGTCTGGCCTCGGGTCGGCGCCTCTCTGCGTTCGGCTGTCAGAGCGGCTGCGTAGGACTCGCCCTCGTGAACCAGACCGGACCAGGTGAGCGCCGCTGTCCCAGGCTCTCTTTGACTGTCACCATATTGTTTTGCTTTTTTTCCACACTACAAAGCTAAGTATAAATGCTTGCTAGCAGAGTAGATTAAACTGCAATGCATTGTGGTTTGTTTGTGGCAGAGGTTTTGCAGAGCTGGCGTGTCCAGTTTGACAGTCCAATTTCTACAGTGCTGCTCTTTCCAGTCAGCTGTAATAATGCCTCTGGTGAGATAAGTAAGGGTTTGTGGCTTGTTTATTACTGTTTAATGCAGCAAAGTCTGTACGTGTTATTAATTTAAGTTTAACGCTACATCCGTTTGTGTTTGCAGGACATGAAATGAGTGGGTACAACCTTTTGGTCACCAGCACCATAGAGATAGCAGTAGTCTACAGGTTTGTCTCATACATTATAATTAAGTAGGCGTGTCAAACTCAGGCTCGTGGGCTAAATCCGGCCCGGAAGACTCTTTTTAGTGGCCCCTAAAACGTTTTAATTAATATGAATAACTTTCAGTATTGATGGTTATGGGCTATCGAGGCATGTCATACATCGTCCATTTTATCAGGAAAACAACCACATTTAATTTATTCTAAAATTTGAACCCAACTCATCATAAGTACGGATTAAGTATGCATTACACAGTTATAATGCACGACGCAAAGTGCATTTTAACTGTATAATGCACGGCTCCTCGTTTAATCCGCTTATACCATGGTCCCGTGACTTTAAGTGTGTAACAAATGTTTATTGACTTTACCGAACTGGCCAAATATGCTTAAGTATGGGGATTATTTAACAAGTCTGAATACAAAACCTTTGCCTTTGCAACCATTGTAAAGAGAAGTGGGAACTACTGTTATTAACACGCAGACAAAATATTAGCATTTACACAGACCAAATAGGTATCATTTCAAATTGTGAACTTGCAAAAGATTACATAAATAGCACGGCCTATTTATTTAGTTTACTGAGCCCCTCACATGTGCAGTCTATAAATTAAATTGGATATTCCCGTTGATAATGTTAAAATTCACCTCGAAATCCATGTTATCCAGCGCTGCAGTATTAGTCGCTACGGCTTGCCACCTTATTGACAGTTTATTTGATCCAGCTGTTACAGTTACTATGGCAACAACTGTGGCGGAGAGATATAGAGCATGATTTTAAACTTACCGGACTACGTGTGAGTAAATATGAAAATAATGCACGGCAGTTAGCGTTGGAATTATCACAGACCATGATATAAAGCAATGTGTTTTTGTCTTCATATTTGTAATCTTTATTTATAAGTAATCTTTATTTATATACCGCCTTTCACAAACCAGAGTCACAAAGCGGTTTACAATTGTTATTATTTTTGGGCATTTGTCTCTCACTCCACACAGAGATGGTAGCGGGGTCGCCAGTACAGGAGGCGCATGCCAGACCTATTGTGCATGTTTTTAGTGGTAGGGGAAACCGGAGTACCCGGAGGAAACCTACGCAGACACGGGGAGAACATGCAAACTCCACTCAGAAAGGCCCTGGTCCGGCCGGGATTCGAACCCAGGACCTTCTTGCTGAGAGGCGAGAGTGCTATCCACTCAGCCACCGTGCCGCCCTTGGTCCAGTTTTGGTTCATTTCAAACAATAAACACATTTTGTTTTCATTAAAATCCAACAGAAAATAATAGTGAAACTCATGTCAAATAAAAGTCATGTCAAAATACATGCAGCTGCTCATACCCTCTATTCTTTCGGCCCTTGATCAGTTCCCATTTTCTTCTATTCGGCCCCTGACCAAAATGAGTGTGACACCTCTGTTCTAAATGTTTTATGTTTTCAGAGATGTGGAGCAGCACGGCCTGACGCTCACCATGTGTCTCCCAGAAAGTGATCAGTGGGACGCTGTTCTGAGCGCTCTCGTCATCGACCTGGATTTTGATGGACAGAAAGAAGTGCTGCTGGGAACGTATGGACAGGTAGGCCTAAAGAAATAATAATACACATATTTATTTGTTTAGTTGCTGTTTTACAATTTAAAAACCTGTTCATTATACTATTACTTGATGAAGATGGACCTTTAGGGATATTTATTGACATTTACTGACATTTATTGACATTTATTGACAGTGGTCATCCCACCCCCTTTGGCTCAATGGCTCCTATGTGTTTGCTATTATTGCATTTCTGTGTTTGAACAGTTTGATTCTCTGATCTGTTGTTGGTGAATCGACAACTTTGTGAAGTCCTCTGAAACGACTGCTGTTGTTACTGAATTATGCTGCAGCCAACTGATTACAATGGGAAAAGTTATCTCGCTTATGATTTCTATGTCAACCTTTTAGGCCACTTTCCAATGTTCATTATCCCTTAATTATCTTATTTTAAGTATTTATTTTGTTTTCTTCTGTGGGTGATTATGACTAGTCCTCCATCTCAGATCTCAACCTTTTGTTTGTTCCACATCCTAAAGGGTTTACTAGATCAGTCAGCGTCAATATATTGCTGTGACCTTAAACTTGGTTATTATTTGTGATTTTACTGACCCCTAGTGGCAATAGTTGGTGTAGACCTATTACAAAATGGTATCAAGTGTTTTATGTCTACACACCAACAACTATTTTTTTATTCGAAGCTCTTAAACCATTGCTAACGAATGAATGAGTGCAGTAAGAATTAAAATGGGATAGATTTTTTTTGTTCCTTTTCTCTATGGACCCGGTTCAAGCATTCAGAGCTCATGCTAACACAGGCCTTTTTACAGTGTTACAAAAAAAAGAGCTGTACCCCTCCTTCTCCGCAGGAACTTCTTTGTTACAAATACCAGGCAGCAGTGAGCGGAGGGGACGGGCAGTTTCAGCTGCAGTGGAGGCGGAGCTTTAAGAGTCCTCTACTGTCCATCATCTACTTAGACCTCACCGGAGACGGGATGAAGGAGCTGGCCGTCCTCACTCTCAAGGGCCTGCATGTTTTACAGGTACTGAGCTCTCTGTCCGCTCGGAAAACAGTCAAAACATGTCATCACAGCTGTTGTTCATGCTCTGGGTCTTGGTATTAAGCGTAGGTTTGCTCTCACAACTGAAGGACTTGCTCTTCAGCTCAAAATCATGAGTTCAGCAACAAATGTAACAAGGGTTGAGCGGTTGCTGACCTCTACAGGCTCCGAGCAGAAAAACAAGGCTGTGTTTGCTTTTATTCTTCAGGCTTTTATTTTTATGGGTCACCCTTTTGCTAGCTGTTAAATGCAACCGCTGTAATTACATGCATTACTAGAATCCAGCACAATTGTAAAACGAAGGGATTAACAATGCAATAAAAAACACCAAGTGGAAAAGGAAATATTGTGCATTACGACGAGAGCAAACGCGCAGAGTATATTTGTGGCTTTGAGGATTATAGCTTTATCAGTTTATGCACTTAAAATGTGATTGAAAGGGACTTCATATGTAAACTTACATTCTGTTTGTTATAATGTGAATACTGTTCTGTCATACTGTAGTCGCTCATCCTAATCATCATCATACGTAAATATATACATAATAGAAAATGGAGTAATCCTAAATCTCTAACATCATGCCTCTGATAAACAAGCTCTCAATAAAGTTTTTGACTTTGGGTCAAAGATGTCGCATTCAGAACTATCACGTAGCCATTTTGTCCGTCTACATTTTACAGTTGATTTCTAAAAGCTGTGGTTTGTATCTTGTCAAACTACCACAAAAATGAATGATGTCATATAATGTACTATAGTTCCCACTCTCAAAACAGATGGTTCTTTCACTAGTTTGCTCATGCATGTATTTGTTGTTGCATCTTTCGGTCAACTTTTCCAGACAAAAAAAGTTAGAAACATAGGACCACTTTCTCAGCCCTAAAGCATCAAATATTGCCTCTCAGGGCTCATTCTGACAAGTATGCAAACAATAACATGTTTTCCAATAGGATATATACAGGAGGTTCTGGTGTGAATTCTTTCTGTTGAGATAAACTGTATCGTTTATGAAAAAGTGAAATTATGTACCGCAGACCTGTTTTAGTTTGTAGTTTTGTGTTGTATTGGACCCAAACTAAAAGCAGGTTCTGCACATGTCTGACCCGATGCCCCCTGCTCCTCTCCACACAGCACAGCCTGACCTGCACCACGGCTCTGGTCTTGCAGCGCCTCTCCCAGCAGGTGTCAGAGCGAGCCCAGGCCGCACTCCCAGAGGGGGCCGAGCACACCGCTGAGGAGGCCACTCTGCAGACGTCTTCCAATTAGGACAAAGTGCATTTGGTTTATCTGTGTGAGTCAGCCCGCGCACCGGACCCATTAAAGTGTCGGAATGTGAGGGATTCGATTAGCGCTTTTGTTTAATTAACAGTTGTTCCGATAAAGACACTGGTTAGAAAATAAAACCATGTGCCATATAAAAGACTGAAAGGTGTGATGTCAAGTGGCGGGTGTAAACACAACTCATGAACGAGCTCATTAGGCTAATAAATGCACTGACAAATGCTGTTATCCTCAGTTAATTTGAAAATTCTTCACCTGTAATGAGGGCTTTGCTCACTGGGATTTGTGTAATTATAAAATGGGCAACGTTGATGCTGTGTAAGTAGTGTACAGTGATTTGCAGATAATAAATAACAACTTTGGGTCAAGACGGTCCCAGCGGCTTGTGTGGGGGTGTCTGTGCAAACTGGTGCCAGCGATGGTGAGATGAGGCTGATTTTGTTATGCCTTCCTACGGGAGAGTAACATGAAAGGAGAGAAGAGGAAGTGGAGTGTTCAGGAATGAGCAGGTGAATACAGACTAGAAGCTGAGCAGCCATCATGAGGGAGTTATGTTTCTCTATTTATAAAGTGTCTATGCTGTAGTTTGACAATCCATCTGAAAATACACAAAATAGAAATATACAGTATATATATGCAATATCACGTTTGGAGTTATGATATAATATGTATGATAAGGAAAACAGGCACAAAAATTACATTGAGACAGGATTATAAGTGGAATAGCAGCTGATTCAAATTACTGAAATTGCACAAAAGCATTTATAAAATCATTATAGTTTAAGTTCCATAAGGAGCCGAAATGAACGAGATTAAGAGCCATGGTGCAATTATAGTGTGTTCCTTGTCTTGGTTAGTGAGCTTTAGTTACAAGTTGGAGGTTAAAAACCTTTTGAGGATTTTCCAAAATAATATGAAGGTGAAGTAAAAGAGGAAGGGGAAAGGCATTGACCCATTGTTGTCAGTATATGACTGAACAAATAGTTCAAAGTTGTAGTATACAACAAACACCACCTACATGTGTTAGAAGTACTACAAAGTGTCCACAAGATTCCTGTAAAACTGCTAAAAATCTATAATACAATTAAAGACGTAAACGTTGTGAAATATGTGCTTTTCACAGTCACTCAATGAAAGTTATATTTTAAATGCATTAGTTTTACAGCGCAATGCTAATTCTAGGGTTGAATTGAACTCCAGGGGAAGCTTTAGAAGTCCTTTATCATTCCAGTTTAATTGTTCTCTGCTCAGGCATGACAGGAGGCTGGTCCTTTCTCGTGCTGGGCCAGTCTTTCGGCCGGTCAGTGGCACTGTCGTCCTCTGCGCTGCTCCCAACTATATTTCTCCCCTCTGGAACTACAAAGGCAACAATAACAACAGCTGCACTTATCAGACTGAGGACTTGAACAGAGGAACACGACGTTAAGATGACTTGAGCAGATCTTCCCCCGTTTCTCCGACTCGAGCCCATTTGCACTTGTTTCACGGCCAATCGTCTGCCGGATTGTTCCGCTTTATTTTGCGCGTCAACAATAAAGGAGCATGCTGTTGGCGTTTCACTCAATGGGCTTTTTATATTTAGCTCTGTGAAGGACGCGGATCAGGAGAAAGAGGAGACCCCGAGCCCGGTGTTGTTTGGCATTTTGATCCTTGGAGATCGTCTCAAGAGCGAAACAAACCCAGCAAAACTTGTGTTCTCTGTGCGCGCTCGGGCTGCGGTGCTGAAGGCGCTGTGTGCGCGCACGCGTCTGTTTGTGTTTGAGGGAAATAGCGCAGTTTTGACTCCGAGCTTTGGCGCGGGGAAAGATGATGATGGCCGGTGGTGGTGGAGCAGCCGTGGACCATAACGGGATATATTCCAACCCGACCCTGCACAACATGCAGCAGCCGCACATGGAGGCGGACAGCGCGGACTCCCGCAAACGGCCCCTGGAAACTCCGGCGGAGGAGGCCGGCTGTACCAAACGCACCAACACTGGAGGTAAGAGAACACAAGTACAGACGCCTCCACATCAACTCAATCCGTGACTCTTTGCAGATGGGCGCGTAAAGCTCTCCATGGCCGTGAGTCCAGGCCCATTGGATGTAGAAAAGCCTTTAACAAATGAAAGCAGGTTGGAGGCTGCATATATGAGGCTTTAAACGTTCTGCACCTGTGCTCGGCACTTCCAAAAAGCAGCCGTGGTTTACAAGGCAGTTACTTCTTCCTCAGCACTTCCCATTGAGACCAGTCTGCTTTGAATCGCACCCTCATCTTGCTCTGCATCTGGAGCATTTCTTTAATGGCATCCCTCGTTTGGTGTTTACGCAGCAACGACAATGCTTGAAATGGTGAAAACATTCTTGGTAGTCTACCATTTAACAGGCTGGGTCAAAGAGGAGGGGTCCATTACTGCTCTCACGTGGAGGCCAGAGATAAATCTACACATTTTCCAGAACAGTCCTTGTTAAACGGCATATGATGGGCAGTTTGGAGAGACTTCACGGGATAAACGAGAAACATATGGCAGAAAGTCCAGTCCCTGAGATGGAGAGATGGGGGTCTCCTTTAGTTTGGTACCACTCAGTCAGAGAACAAAACCATGAATCACTGGCATTGTGTGTCTGTAAACATCCACTTGGCTCTACAACGCCACAATGGCCCTAAAACCCTATTGTCTGACCGAATCGGCCTGAGCTAGTCTGAACTGGAGTTTCCCCCTCAAAACACTGCAGCCACTTTATAATAAGCGAACAAACCGTTACCCTGCCAGCATAATCTTCCACTTGGACTTCCTTGTGAAAGACGAGGGTCTCTAGTAAAATCTGAAACTAGTGAAGAGTTGCCAACGAATGCTATTTGTGTTCTGATAGAGGCAAAGCAAACAGGTGAAAATCAGAGCCTGCAGCACTTAAGCACTCACCACCACAGCACACTAAATGTTTTTATTTTTAGGATACTGTAGGAAACACTGTCACAACTGTTGAGCGCTTAATTTCAAGCTACTATCTTTTTTTAAACAATATCCAAAATAAGAACTCCTTACAGCCTGGCAGGGGACTGTTGTATATTGCTAAATTATTGTAAATTGCCACCCTCTGCTCTAAGCTGCATTTATTCTATTAGGCTGCACTGCCTAATAGCACCGGCATGAAGGACGAAATATTTTGACATTAAGATTGAAATTGGAGAACAATTACTAGCTTCCGATCCTCATCACAACAATTCAGCCCCTTTAGTAACTTCTTTAAGATGCAGGGGGGCTAAATGGTGTGTCCTGTCACATAGCAAGGGAGAGAACTTGGCACACATGCTTATTACTCATGCGTTCATGTCAGTGCAGAAGATGATGGCTGAATCACTCGTTGCTGTACATCTTTTTTGAGCCCCTTATTGTAATGCTTTGTGGCTTTGAGGGACCACTTATTAACAACCTAATGTTAATTGCTGATCCACAGAGAGCTGGCAGTCTCCTCACCATATGCTGTTGCCGTTTGCTTTGTCTGCCTCCATAGCCACATTCTGCCGTACAGTTTCCAAAAGGGAAGGGCGCTGCATCTTTGCCGCACCTCACAATTGTAGTTTTGGAGAAGCACACCCCTTTATGAAAGTGTTTCAGAGGAGAATCGCCCCGTCTTCATTAGCACCCAGATAATATAGTGAGATGATAAGTCACTTGTCGTTCTTTCAGAAGAGCTCTGCCCTTTCCCTTTTTATACGCCCTATTTTATGGAATACAAAGGACTGAGGGATCTGAAAATTACATTTGGAGAATCTTAATGAATAGTGTAAGTTTATAATCCTCTGTGAGAATTCACCCCATTATACCCCCCTCATTTTGATAATAGTATTATTACATACAGCTTTTCCATGGTGCTCCTGTTCATTTCTAGAATCTCTTAATAGCTCCATCCAAACTCCAGTGTGGAGTTACCTGTTCAATCAGCAGATAATGAGAGAAGTACTAGTGGAAACAGCAGTGCCCTGCTCTCAGGAGCCTGCAGTGGGAAGGTTCAGTTGGCCTTTCAAATCCTGTCTTCCGTCAATACTTTAACATTTCATTTGTGTTTGCTTGTCTTACATCAAAGACCGATCATATCAGTGCCCACACTTAGATAATATAATTGTAAAATCATACTCATGCACAATATGCTCTGTATCGCAGCAACCATGTGGATTAACGCCTACGTAAGGCAGATGTGTTTGCTTGCACTTTATGTAATATGTTATCTGCTAACCTCACCTCGCTTTCTCAAGTTATATGTTTAACATATGACATCGCAGGCTCACAGCATGTCTGGCTGTATGTGGTGTTCAACAGACTCCTAATCTTCAGCTGTCCCTGTAATCACCAACATGTCTGATATTGATCACACTATTCCTCCAAAACCGATCATTAACATGACTGACAGTTAAAACAAAGAGAAGAAAGCCAGTGCGCTTTCAAATCTGAGCCCCCCGTTGTACATTTGTAGCTATGGACCATTCAGCTTCTCTGAATGAGTAAAATGACTCTTCTTTTATCAGCATTGCCCTTCTCTCCTCAAAAGGAACATCTTTCATTAATTTCTATTGCTAATTACTCATAGCCAGAGCCATGTTGCCAGCAAGCAAGTGCCATCCAAAAGGTTATGTAGCAGAGGGATTAGGTATGATCTCGTAATGTTGCTAATGGAAAGGTTGGCACAAGAATGCGAGCAGTATCTTTTTATTTTTTTTATTTTTGGTGGGAAGGACACAGGTGCCCTTGCAGAGCGATGTGACGTGAGTGGACTGTGAATTTGCCAGGTGGCAGTGAAATAGAGACTGAGAGAGGCAGATAGAAAAGAGACGGAGCAAGAGAAAGGAGAGATAGACCATGAGCGTCTATTGGGAGGCAGGCTATACCAGCATCATGGAATCAATGGGAAGGCTCTGAATTTTCGGGACGCCTTTTGTTCCGCCACAAAATGGGACATTTATTTCAGCTTTTGATTTGGGGATGAAAGTAATCAGTGGACAGATACGAATAATGAGTCCTTGTTAAGGTTCCCTGGAAAGAATGATTGATCCAGTTTGGCCAGACTCGGCCGGTGTCCCCGCACGGACACTCTACACAAGCACATTACGCTGGTCCACTCACATAAGATACCTCTCGGTGTTAGATTTATAGGCGTAGTGATTGGCTTCATCACCCCCCTCCACCATTCTGCGGCACTGCCATTTGCAATGGTTGATGAGCCCCTCCGCCCTCTCAAACATGGCCGTCTAAGGGATTGGGGGTGGGGGATAGGAGGAGAGGAAGGTGGGTGGCGTAAGGCACGCTGTCTCCGATCACTCCTCCTCCACCTCCTTCATCATCTGCTTATGTTATCCATACACCTCTTCAACCACTGTTGAAGGTCACTTTACAGACTCCGTGCTAAGCGCCTAACTCCGCTCGCGCAGCCACTTCACCTTTGTCACTTTCTACTAAAACCCCGACTGAATGGGCTGCCGTACTTTATAGTGCTGCGTCAAAAGAGGCGGGGTAAGAAAGAAAATTCAATTTTTTGGGACCAGTATCAGGGGGTGGGGACATGACGTTTTTCAGGGGAGCGACCAGCGATTGGCCGAGCGAAGTGTCAGTCCTGCGTGCTACTGCAGACGGACAGGCCACTCGATGAATATGGATGAGAGCAGTGAAAAGGGTGATGCGGCAGGGAAGACCCCCCCCTTCAAACCGATGCAGGCTCGAACAATGCGTGCCGTCTTTCACTGAAAACACTGAGAGCCCGCATTAGCATTTTCTCAGACAATTGAGGCTCTGGCCAGCTGCAGGCATGGCTCGGATGCTGCGGTGAAATCTCTTTTGCTGCACTCACTGATGAATTAGGCTCGGTGAAAAAGGTTGACTGGCCGCATTCCTCAGCACTACGGTTGCACTTATGCCTAGCCCAATGTTAAGATCCCCTTTAGAGATTGCACCCCGGCATTGATGGCGATCTGACAGAGGACTTGAGAAGCAGCAGATCTCAGAATGGGTAAGCGGCCAACTCTTTATCTGTGACTTGTTGAGTTTATCTTTTGCATACATGTCATTTCATCATCCCGACTTCATTTGACCATTGTTACTCTATCTTTTGTAGCTTCTTGCTGGTTGACAGCAGCAGGTTAGTCCATTGACATGCAGAATGGGTAGTGGATAGGAGGGAGGACGGTCACAAGGCATTTCCTCATGACCCACCCCCCTTGAGTGACTTAACTAAACACATTTGGCTCAGTGTCCATGGTCTCTGCTCCAAGCCATCCTTCCAGCACTGGAAGCCGGGGTTTGAACTGACACCCCACTGGCTCACATTCTCAATGTGCCCCACTGCTCCCGTTCCCTGGCGGATTGCAGCAACAGATTGCCATGTTTACTCTACCACATGACGCCATAAAAACCTGTTACTGTGATCTCAGACACTAGGACAGAATTAATTATTGACTAATGACAGCGAACGTGGCTTTGAGGGCGATGAAGCGGTCTTGGTGGTCCCTCCCCTGCTGGCTCCACTCAGGTGGAAGACGAGCAGAAAGTTACGCAGTGGATTTGGGCTTGTCTACTAACAACAGGTCTTTTTAACATTAGTTTCATTCTCACATTTGTTGTATTTTCTGTCATTTCTGACATTGTGTGATTAAAACAAGTGCTTGCGCAAAGTAAAAGCTTTACTAAGACTGTCAGTCATGAATGATCTTTATTTTCCCACCAAGGTCATTTTATTGTTATACGCTGAGAAGAAACGGGGGGTATTGCGAAACTGGATAGAAATTTGGGGGTCAGAAGAGCCATGAATTGAAACAAAGCCTGTTCTGTAATGCTGTAAAGTGTTACACTTACAAATCCAACATCAAGTCTTTTACTACGACTCCATTAAAATTACATATCTCATTAAATAATGAATCAAATGGATCTGATTTTGTTAAAACTGAAGTCTTGTCATGTCATCTCTTCGTTTCATTAAGAGACTTGGGATGGTCCTGCACAGTTATTGTGCATAAATTCTCCTGACAGCATGTGAAATTTGGGCTACAAATAAGTCCTGTACATGTTTGCATGTTTCAGTGGCATTTGTTCCAGATGATTTAGACAAACAGCAGCCTGTGTCCGAATGGAACATGAGAGGCATATTAATGCAATAAGCACAAGATCTAAACATGTGAACTGTGAAATGTCTGCATGTCACACTGTCCATTTCCATCACAGTCTAATGAATGCATTACTCAGGCAACAGGTTGTGACTCCAGTGCCATGACCATGCACCTCTATTCCTCCTATTTTGCTGTTTATCATTCCGGAGAAGTCACTACGCACTTTGACTCTGCTCCCTGTTCCGACATATTGATTTGCTTCAATATATATTTAGTGTACACAGATGCGCTCCTGAAGACACACATTTGACTCATGTGGTCAGTGTAATTTCCATTTCTGGAGTGACGTCACCCCAGAGGCTGCTGAGGAGGATTGGACAGTGACGTCATTGCTTCCATATCAGTATGCACAGCGTAGTATTCCTATCGGTGCATCAGTTCAAGCACCCGTGCACAGAGTTTACCTGGGTACAACGTGGATTTGACTGAGGAAAGATCGTCTTCATCGTCTTCATCCTCAACTTACACAGTCTTCACCACTTCCTTAATGACAATGAGGTCAACTATGTCCAGGCGCCCTATGTGGCTGATTGTTTTATATGCAAATAGAGGCACTCCATTTGAGATGCGCCTTCTTCTGTCTGATTCTTGATTAGCGATGACAAAGTTTTCGTCTGCACTTCACCTGGAGGAACATGAACATGCGCTGTCAGTCAGACTATAGTAGAATCCACCGTAGGCCACAAGAGCCCTTCCCAAAATGGAGGAGATTTGGGCTTGGCAGTGAACCCCTTGTGCAAATCGGTGGGATTGTTTCCTCATATGTTCTCTGCACTTCTTCTCATTATCAAGGATTTAGAGTCTCTGCATTCACTGACCGCAGGGGAATAACAGCAGGTCATGTGATATGTGCTGTTGAGTAATATTCATAAAATACACACATACATTGTTATTCTTGTGAAAATGGGTGACACCGGGCCCATCTCTATTTAGAGGGGTGGTGAAAACTCCTTGAAAACAGTTAAAATTAGACCTCTGTGAGCTGGAAAGGAGGTCATCATTTACTCTACAAAAATCTGGGACAGGACACAGAATATGTCATCGTTCTGATTTGATTGGTCTAAATGCTACTAAAAGTGGTTCTTCATAAAATGCCCTCACTTATACTGTATGATTTTTATTTTATGATGTGATTTATGAGTTGTGTAGTCCCCGTGTGGGCATGGTGTGGTGCCAGGCAGGGGAGCGCTGGGAGGGGGGTAACTGTATGGTGTCTATGATGATGTGCAGAGCTACTATACGAGATGTAACTCTTTCCCACTTTGTGTCTGTCCCCCAGAGGAGGGCGAGTACTTCCTGAAGGTGCTGATCCCCAGCTATGCAGCGGGCTCTATAATTGGCAAAGGTGGCCAGACCATCGTACAACTGCAGAAAGAGACGGGTGCCACCATTAAGCTGTCCAAATCCAAAGACTTCTACCCAGGTGAGAAAGTCATAACTATGACTGATGAGGGCGTTGTCTTACTGCATCACGATGAAAGACTTTTCCTCTCAATTGATTTCTACCAATAATTGTTCCTTTTAATCACACACCCACAATAATAAGCGTTCAGAACGTCATTACCCGGTGTCCTTGAGCGACGGAGGCAGACTTCATCTGTGCTGGCGCGGCATTCGGTGCTTGTTGTGTCGTAGCTTACATTCTTTACGGCTCTAATCAGTGCGTCACATATTCTTTAGAGCTGTTTTAATTGCGCTGTTGCCATTTTAATACCTTGAAGAGAACATGTCCAAATGTGCAAACTGAAAATGCATGTAGCCGCAGCAGAGCGGATGCCAGTGCAGTTCAGTGACCCCTATCACATGGAGGTCAAAGCCGGAGCGCCTTATCCCGCCAACACAAATGGCCAGAGCGCGGCGGCGGTGTCTGGCTGTTTGTCCTTCATGCCTCAGAGGAGGCTCCGACCTGCTGCAAAAAACAGGTGCTCAGCTTCTTATCCTTTATTACCTCCAGATGTTTTCTGTGATAACTGATTCACCCAATATCCACTGCAACGTCTACTGCCTGCGTGTTCGCCATCCGCAGTGAGCGGTGCTTGACCGGTGGGTGTGGAAAAGTTGAGAATGTGGAGATTGTATCATATCTTTCATCTTGTCTGGGAAGCTCTGTAGGCACATGGAGAGGCTTTAGGAGCATTATATTATGACATTTTCATTCATTACTGAAATTTACATTACTATTAGAAGCTTAGTTTGTCAAGATCAACAAATAATGACTGAGCTGTTATGGTAAGGTATAGAATATGTATATTGTATTTTTTTCATTCTAATATACAGTCCAAGGTTATACCTGTAGATTATTGACCCCACCTGGTCTCACTATTGCTCTCCCATCAGACCTAAATGCCACCCTTTTAATTTCATCCAATTTAATTGGGGACATCAATGATTCCACTTCCAGGAGGATCAAGCATTTTGTGCATGAAAGGAGTAAATACTTACATACTCTCACACCCATAGAATCTAGTGCAATGAATACAACTGGGCCAGGGTGGTTTGTCTCGTTACAATGGGACTTTAGAACAAGTAAACGTACAATGATAGTATTTGTTGATACAATATATATTTTTCTTTTATTTCATTACATATTTAAAACTGTTCATACAAGATGCCATGCTATATGTAAGATTATCATTTTATATTATATTTATAATGTAAAAATATAAATCCCATCCTTTATCAGTGCCCTGTCCCTCCTCATTTTTAATCTATTCCAATTGATTAATTGTAAAATGAAATCATTATTTAGGTTAAGATTCCTTATGCAGATTATCCAATCAGAAAGCATCACAATTCTGCCATTCGGGTTGCCAGTTTCTTTGGTGAAATCCCACCAGTTGGATGCTCACTACCTAGACGGCAAAACCTCTGAGCAGGAGGAGCAGGTACATGCGTGTGCTACCCTTTAGTTCAACATTAAATTCTATTTATTCCTCAAGACGATTTCTATTTTCTATTAAGATAAATAGATTCATTTATTAATCAAGGGGAAATTCAGGCGACCATCTGTAAGCGATACAGAGACAAAAGTCTGATACATAATAATCATACGATGATCATAAGACGCTTTTTAATTTATTTACAAAGATAAATAAATGAAAAACCTCAAACAAACAGTGTAAGCAGTTGGAGTTTTAAACACATAATATCATGAATAGTGAAATCTTATCCAAACATAACTCAGGAATACACTACAGTTTTTCCCACGTAACTGCAGAAACGTGCTGCAAATTCTATGACTATGAACCCTACTGCTTCTGATTGCATATGTGACTGTATTTCTATTAGATATTTAAATTGGTGAAATACAGACAAACATCATGCTCCACTGTCTATGTCTCATTCATTAGTTTAAAAATGAGAAAACAGTGCTAATAAACAGGAGTTACAGTAAGTATGGCTCTTGCTTTTGCCTGTTGTCTTTGTGTTGTCCTGCCCTGGTTTGTAAGCCTCTACTACTGCACAATTAGTTCCAGAGGTTGTTTAATCTGCATCCAACGGCCTTTTCCAACCCAGCAGCAGCAGCAGCAGCAGCAGCAGCAGCAGCAGCCCTAGCAGCCCTCTGAGACCAGGCTCATTCTTTGTACAGAAACGACATCTCAGGCCATCTCTTTATTTCGCTTGTGTGTGACCTCTGTCGGATCTGCTCGGCCGACTTTTTCCTCTTTCCGTCCAGAACATTGCAGCACTTTTACAAGCAAAAATGAAAAATCTTGGCTCGTCCGTTCGGGAGTGACGTCTGATATATGGGAGTGAGTGAAACGTGCCAGAGCGATAGAAAAAGAGGGGGGGAGGAAACTATTTGCTTCTGAACTTCATACTTCCATTGACTTTCTGTTATCCCTGTTGATGTTTTTCCACACAAAGCCTGGTTACATTTAAAGCCGTATTTTGTATCACTGACACATAGCGGAGGGAATAAGTGATCCTTATTTCTCTATTTGGACTGTTGGCGTGTTCCAGGGCCAGCACCTGCTCCGCCCAGCCCCCCTCCTCATTACAATGATGAGTGAGGAGAGGAGTTCAGGGAGAGGCTGCCGCTGGCCCACGTCTGATTGGTCGGCTTGATTTTCGGCCCACGCTATAGTCATAAGTGCACTACTGTACGGCACGAGATAGGTTTGGAGAAGTTTGGAGCAGCGCTGTAGAACTCGTCAGGCGTGTAATTTAAATTGACTGTATATGGCTAAACTCGAACAGAATATGAGCAGAGTTTTTTTGAGCAACTGTCAAAAACAAAAAACATTTGGCCAGTTGTTTTATTAATGGCAGTTTCCGAGGTGTATTTTTGTGCGGCTGTTCGAGACTCATTTAAAAAAGCTCCAGTCTCCATAGTCACCATTTTCCTCAACCCAGTGCTGCTGGCAGAGCTGTCTTCGATTTTTACTCAGAAAAAAGACTTGGTGATTGATTTTTTTTTTTTTTTTTTTCTTTGTTGCAAAATTCCACAGCTAATAAAAAGTATTCATATCAAGTTTTGTTTCTATTACGGGCAGAAACAAACTGGTATTTTAGATGCATAAACTTTATATACTGCAAAACTCATCAAATATAAGATAAATCCAGTTTTTTTACTGAGGATTGAATCTTGTTCTCATGTTTTTTGCTTGTCCCATTGGAAAATCTATTTTAAAGACCTACAAAAGTAAACTCAAGATGAATATAACCTAATTCATTAATTTTGAGTTACTTTTGGTTTCTTAGTTTTGTTTGGTCTTTCATTGGTGGACATTAAAAACACTATATGTGTGTGATCATTTTTCAAAATGAGAAAAATCTCAAACGTATTATTCAAAATCAAATAAGAAAATATGAATTCCCTATTATCATTAATGAAATTGGTATTAGTATTTTGATTGTTATTGTTCTACTTTTACAAGTACTAGTGCTTTTGTTGTATTTGTTACTGTGTGAATGAGGTCGCATCAGTAACGTACGACAACAGCTAATTTTCAGGAAGCAGAGATTTGAAAATGTTTTGAGTAATATTTGTCGAACAATTGAAATAAACATAGTGACCTCTTAAATAAAACTAATCCCTCATTACATACATCATATTTTCTGTCGTAATAGGACGCTTTTATTCCCATTCAGCTGACCCGTAGCGAAACACACTTGACATAAATGCGTTTTCTGTGATTTTTGCAGCACATTTTCCTTCAAACCAAAGAAATCTGTCACACATAGAGACAAGCCTTATTCAGCCGTTTTCCTCGTACCTTTCACATTGTCATTCGTGGTCAGCTCGTATTCAGCTCCGTCAAGTGAAACTATAAATTCATAGATAGTGACGAGACATGTGCATGGGTCCTGCTGGAAGATGGATGGTCGCGGATAGTGGATGATCCATGATTGTGTGTGATCTGCAAGAACAGGGGGCAGGCCCAGAAATAGCCCCGTTTCAATCTCTCCCTCTGTGGACGTGACCCCTCTCCCAGCTGTACTCAAGCTGGTCCGCCACTCGCCAAGTTTCCTCTGTCCTGCTCCCCACCCCTGGACCGCTTCTCTCAGAGTTGGGAACGGCCAGATAAGATGACATCATTGCTCTCCCAAAATGTTGTTTTCATTTTCCCAGTGCAGAGTTTTTATGGTCTGAGTTGCTGGAAATGCTGCATGACTAAACGTCTCTGGTCTCGTACTGTGAGTTGACCGAGCACCTTCTCCGCACACCTCCACGCTGCGGCTGTAAGAGCGCTGTGGGAGTTCAGTCAGAGATCAAACTTTAACTTCTGTGATGCACTTAGCCCCTGCTTCAATCCGTGTGTTAGGTTTCTTATTCCGGCTGTTATGATGTCATAGTAACCAGCCTTGTGTTTTTAATTATCCTTTTGTTAAAAAATGGAGTCCAGAGTGACATTACGTAACACGGCATTGGAAAACAGCATTACTCCATCAGGGATTTCCTTCAAAACAAAACAGTCCCAAAGCCTTTGGACCCCTCTGTGCCCCACCAGTGTTCTCTTATTTGACTACAGAATGTTTCTCTCCGTGACACCAGGCGGTCTGCGGACATTGTTTCTTTCAGGAACAATTGATAGAAATAGTTTCAAAGTTGCTTCTTAGATTCCTGGCTCATGGACGTTTGCATGATTAATCTCCACGGCAATATGGCATCCATCAAAACAACATTCTGGGTTTTGGGAAGAAATGTTGGCACTCGCGGCAAGCTGTGCTTCTATTTTGTTACTATACTTGTACAGAGAGTAAATAATCTAAGCTTTTAAATGTTGTGCCAGCTTCTCGCTGCTATTGAACTGCGAGATGAAAGATGGGGGAGTCAGGAAAGGCTAGAAGCCTATCCCAGCACAGACTCTTCTAATGTAGTAATATTCATTTATTACAAAATCCTGCTGTCTTTAAAGCACATCTTACGTCATTACTCAAAGCGCTCAGTGTAATTTAACAACAGTTTGTAAGAGTTTA